ATCAGACAGTCAACAATCGATGGGCACCAAGCTGACATTTGGCTGAGTGATATCAGCAGAGGTATTGAAACCTCAGATAGTCAACATTTCAATAGCCCGTGGTCACTAGGAAGAATTGCTACCGGGCACAGAAAAAGCAATAACAGTGTCATTCAGAGACAAAAAAGAACCTCAATTCTGCCAGACTAAGGAGAGCAAACCCATTCATCACCAGGATGGTCCTACAAAGACCCAAATTATAAATGGAGTGGAAATGCTCATGCATAGTCTGTCCCCAGTAGAGCATTCACCACACGTGGTCTGCATTGATCAGGGCAAAGAATACTTTTCCAGCCTTCCCCTTTTAAAGACTGGCCCATCCTCAAAGATGGAAATCTTTTTCTGACTTCTGAGTGCGTTTGTCATGAAATGAATAAGATAGTAGGGAAGAATAAACCAGAAAAGACAGGCTTGAAAGTACAAGTTTATTGTCATTTCCAGAAAACAGGGAGGGTGTGTTGAAGACGGAAGTGCCACAGAAAATACTACTCTGACGGCCTGCAAGTGGCTCTTTTATCTTCAATTACATAATGGCCATATTGCTCAATCAAGGAGGACAGCGATCACATGCCTTTTCTTCCTTTCATCCTAACCCCTCATGGCTGTGGTGCACCCGGGCTCTGGGCCAACATTGCTCCTTTCCATTTGATCACACAGCACATGGAGAAGAAGGTGGCTCTCACGGTCCTCGGGCTACAAGGCTCTCAGGTCTGTCTCAAACCTTCCTGAGCAAGTACAGACTGAGAACTTGGCAAACTTGATGGGGCTGTCTGGGAAGTGCCAAAGGCATCCTCTCCAAATCGCTCTGATATAGCAGAGTACAGCCTGTCCTGGACTCCTGGGGCATCTCAAGAGCTGGCAGATGTGCAGGTGTTTGGTGCCCTTTTCTTGCCCGAGTAGACTTCCTAGAGGTTCCCAGGTTGCTGGGCTTGTGAACAGCTGGGCCTGCCTGGCTGGAGGGCTTTGGGTGCTATAAATTGGAGGGAGGCGGAACTGGACAGAGGAGAGTTCCTGCCTCACCTGCCTCCCAGTGCCACATGGCTCCTCCCTCTACTCGCAGAGATTTACCTTGGGTCTACTTCCGAGAGCCACAGGGAGCCTTGATTGGAAATCCCCACACCCCAAGGCTGCCTACTGCGTTGTTTCCGGGCAAAAATAACCTGATGTCTTTTAGAAGCTCAGGCAAGATGGTGGATAGTAAGTAGACGTTCCCTCCCCGGGCTGGGGAAGAGGGCACGGGAGACAAGGCTGGCGGAAAGCTGTCTCTGAAGGGGTGGAGCAACACCATCCCAGGAAAACCAACAGATGGGGGCTCTCAGGATGACCTCCCACCTCTGCCCTGCTTTCAGCTGCCCTTTAAGCCCCGGGTCATGTCTTGAGAATTGACACAGTCCCTGACAGGGAAGGGTGGGGGCTACCTGGAAGGGGAATTTGAGTCATGATAAGTGTACGGAGTTTTCTAACTATCAGGTGGTCTCCAAACCTTTTTGGCTACATATGCCATTAGTAAAAACTGTTTGACAATGCATGCTCATTTATAAATTATTTACATGTACTCTCATCTATCACATATTTAATATTTGTAAGCTTCCAGATAAAAAATAAATAAAAATAGAGGTTCTAATATTTTCTTTCACCTGCCCGCAGTTGATCACTTTCTATACCTCGTGTGTTGTCTGTGCCCCACTTTGGACTACTACTTTTTTTGGAGTGCTTATTTTTTTTTAATTTTTATTTTTTGAGAGAGAGAGAAAGAGTGCAAGCAGGGGAGGGGCAGGGAGAGAGGGGGACAGAGGATTCGAAGCGAACTCTGTGTTGACAGCAGAGAGCCTGACACGGGGCTTGAGCCCAGGTCGAGGCCCAGGCCCAGGCCCCGGCCCCGGCTCGCTGGTCGACCGTGGGACCCAGGACTTTGGCGTCCGCGGGGAACCTCAAGACCATGCCCCGCGCTGAAGTCTGGCACGTAACTGACTGAGCCACCCATGCGTCCTGAGAAGCACTACATTAAAGCTTTCATCTTTATCAAACCTGATGACTTTGATATAAAACATACTTTTCCATATTGTAGGACTTGATTCTAAACTGGATCCTTCTGAACAACTTCTTTGAGGTTTCCAGTGTTTGAAGTGGATATTAAAGTTTTCTAGCCCTTTGAACGCCCTTTAAAATGCAACTCCATTTACCTGCATTTTATTGTAATTGTAATTCAATTTCTTAGACAGAAGGTTCCCACAACCAACTGGTTTGCTGAATGCAGATTGTGCATGGGAAATACTTCCCCGGGGGGAAAACGGAGCGGTTCTCGTGAGAGAAGTTATTTTTACAAGAACACACCAAATGTCTCCCATGCTTCCATGTTTTATCAAAAATCTCAGTAAAAGAGGACCCTTTGTGAAAGATCAACACACACACACGCACGCACGCGCACACACACATGTGAGCGTGAAAGCAAGAGGGAGATGCTATGTCTTAGGGCACATGACATATATAAACTGTGAAATGTCAAAAACAAAGAGCTCAATACTGGCACGTGATTTTACCTTTGATGGCCACTCATCTTCATTGTTTCCCCAACAGAAGGATTAATCTAAGGTGATAAAACCGATCTTTCAGGTCGTGTATCCAATAGCCATTCCGGTGTAGGAAACTACTGCCAGATTCAGTGGTTTGAAAGAGTGATGGTCTATTCTTGCTCATTTGTCTAAAGGTTGGTGGGTGGCTCTGCTGATCTCGGCTGGGCTCAGCCACGCTGGGCTGCACGCTGGAGGTTGGGTGGGTCTGGCCGCGTGCCTTGGGCCTGTGGCATGTTCTCATAGTGGGTGGCAAAAGGTAAGTGGGCAAACCCACCTCCATAAACATATTTCAAGCCCCTTATATAGCTCTCCTGCAATGTCTTATTAGCCAAAGCAAGTCATGTGGCCAAGTCCAAACCAAGGGTTGGAGAATGCTATGATCTGAGTGTGCCCCCCTCAAATTCATACGTTGAAACCTACCCTCTAAGCTGATGGCATAAGGAGGTGGGGCTTTGGGGAGGTGACTAGGTCATGAGGGGGTCCGCCTTCACAGTGCGGATTGGTATACTTTTAAAAGAGGCTCCAGAAAGCTTCCCCACCCCCCCACCCCCGCTGCCTGGTTCCACCACTTGACGACACAGCAAGAAGGCATCAGTCTGAAACAGCTTCCCGCAGCACCCGGCCATGCTGGCGCCCTGGTCTTGGACTTCCGGCCTCCAGAATGTGAGAAATCTATTTCTGTTGTTTATTAACTGCTGGGTCTCTGGTATTTCATCACGGAGCCCAAATGGACTAAGAGAAGTATGTTCTGCCAACCATAAGGCAAGTCATATGGTCAAGCCCAATGTCAAGGGTGGTGCTCTCCTCCCAGAGTTAGGGTGTAAAGGGAAGGCATATTTATGGAATAAGGGTCTTTCTACTATCAGTAGGAAAAGTGAGGCACAGCATTTTACACAAGTCATGGTGCTGTATTTGATGATTTTCCTACCCTAAGAGAAGCAGGAGGGTACAAGCAATGAGTAGCTACAGTACTCCACGATTCTACTGAGGTTGCCCCTATGCTACATCACTTAACCTAATGCCACTAGAACCCACTTCACATGTAAGGGCATAGGCCACAGAGCTAGTAAGTGGAAAGTCTAGGAGTGGAGCCTAGTTTTTTTCTGGTGGTCTTCAAGTGCTTTGAATTTTGGGTCACTTTTTTTTTTTTTTTTGGTCATGGCAAAGCAAGCACTTATTTATTAGGGGAAAATATTTTTGTTACACTGTTCCTATTTACCCCAGAAGCGAGAAGAGGTGTACATTGTCTGTGAGTATAGCTGCCCATCGCTCTTGACGTTCAAACTGTTGGCTCGAATGGATTCTCTTGAACACTTATATTGATGACACAGATTGGTTACTCAACATAGACTTTGGGGGCTTCCAAGAGTTAGAGAAGTGGACTGTTTCCATCATGTGAGTGTGACTGGACTCTCTTGACTGTCTTCCATGATTTGCTATCCTATCCTGTGGGGGTGAGGCCATGGGGAGGAAGGATGGAGAAATCAGGAGTTCTGGTCAGGAAATGCTGCCTGAAGAGAATTTCAGGTGGGCCAACGATGTTGCTCTCTCTCATCTGAAATGCTCTGTTGACCTAAATGTTAGCTCGTTTGTTACTAATGCTTAGCCAACACTATCGTGCCAGTAGACTGAGCACTAGGGATGACTGGGTGAAGCCTATCAATCTGTGTCTTAACAGGTGATTCTGATGCCACTCAAGTTTGACTACTGCCGGGTTAGGCCACCAGGTAGAGAAGGCTCGTGGCTTCTACTAGTATTACTATTCACTCCTTCATTTCAGGTCAGAGGACGGTTCGTACTCTTCTTCGGGGGTGGCAGGGCCAGTGTCTGGGGAGGCCAGTGTCTGGGGAGGCCAGTGTCTGGGGAGGCCAGCCTCAGATCAGTTGCCACTGATCCGTGAAAGACTCTGGGAGAGTCACGGCCCTGCTCCCTGCTTGGCTACATAGTCCCCGCAGAGATGGGCGGGGCCTCCCGGATGGTGTCCAGGCTTACCTCCGGGCTCTAAGGGATCTCAGCACTATGGACATTTTGCGATGGATGATTCTTGGTTGCGGGTGGTTACATTTATCACCGTCCCTGGCCACGCTCCACTGTATGCCAGTGGTACCCCCCCCACCAAGTTACGACAATCAGAAAGGTCTCCTGAGGGATTAAATCACACTACCCCCTCCTGTCCCCTGATTTGAGACCTGCCAGGCTTCCACTGGGAAATTCTGTTCTCAGGACAACAAGCAACGGGAAAACAAGTGGTGTAACTGGAAGGGATGTGGGGTGCAGGGCAACAGTAGCCTTGACTCGGCCCCTCCGATGACTAGCCATTGACTTCTTCCCTAACTCCTCTCCACTCCCAGTCTCCCCCACCCCCAAAAAACCACATCCCCGCACACATTATTTTCATAAGTGACTTTTACTGCTTTACCATTTCTCTTGACAGTAATTCTTGGCGATGTGCATATAACATGAAGGCAAGCATAACTTTCAGAAGTCATCAAAGATATGGTCATATTGTCCTCATTTTCTTAAACCATTAAAATATTTTCATTTATAAAAATTAATCTAAATATAAATATTGACACTGAAGATCAAAATCACTTGATGACAAAATAATTCTTCTGAAACTATAACATATGCTTATGGTTTTTAATAGTAAATTAAATCTTTGCACTTATTTGGCACACGGAAACCTTTATAAAATTTCAAATGCCATAGAGCAGGCTTCTTCTTTTTTTTTTGTTTTTTTTGTTTTTTGTTTTTTTGCAAGGCTTACACAGTACACATTTTTGTCAAAGAAAACTGAATATTTTAACACTGTAACACACCAATAGTTGCTTTTCATGCCTCTTAAAGGAAACATTCTATTTGGAACTCAGATCTTTTTGTTGTTGTTGTTGTTTTTTAAAATTTGTATTTGTCTGCTTTGAGTCACACCAACAGAACAAAAAGCCAAGATTCACTCTGTTTCAAAGGAGTCATTTCTGTTGGAAAACACATACACGGCATCAGCAAAGGGTATCACCCAAAGATAGGCAAGTCGGCATCAGGAAGGGATCGTAACACACATTTCAGTAGCAAATCAGGTCTGGGAATGTGTGTAGCTGCAAAAGAATGTAGAAGTTGAAAGCAACACAGGGTGAGACTTTTGTGAAGCATTCCAGTTACACTTAGCTTAGAGGTGTGACTTTGGCAAACTAATCTCTCTGGCCCCCTCAGTTTCCAAATCTGAAAAGTGGGGTTATCAACTGAAGAGGGTTGCTCTTTGGATTAAGATGAGAAGGAATTGCCTCCCTCAAAGCAGTCACTTAGAACATTTCAGTCAAACTACCTCCTTACCCCCCATCGTTTGCTTTCTTCCTAAGATTCAGAATGTATCGGGGAAAGTTAAAAAAAAGGCTGTAAATGCTCAACTCATTGGGCGGAATTCCATTCCATCGGCCTTTATAACATAGTCTACGCAGTCACGCCTTTGAGACCACTAGCGTGGAGCACGTGTCTGTTACATTCACAGTTTGCCCTTTGCCTTTTTCACGCCTGTAAGTTTTCCAGGGCGATTCTTTAACCATTCTACTAGTTTAGCTGAATTACCTTCTTGGAAGTAAATTTTGGAGCACATTTTCTCAGGTGGTTAGAACCCGTTTAGACACAGTCATCGCTAAACTGCATCACGTGGATTCAGGACGGTGCCCCAAAGTTAGCCAATGGTGAGCTTTCCCAAGCTCCTCTCCCTTCACAGTGGGGGAACTGTCAGTGAGTCCAAGGACAAACCCTAAATTCTCAATGAAACCTTGTTTCAGAAAGACTTGGGCATGGCATGGGTGGGTGAGAACTTTCCATTCTGTGGTGCGTGATTGCGATGGGAATGACTGGGCCACTGTTTGTGGTCATGTGGTTGGTGTGTGTGTGTGGGGGGGGTAGGGGGGTAGCTAGGAGCTTTCCAGGAAGGAGGTGGCTGAAGGGAGACTTGCATCCTTGCTGGGTGCGTGCTCCCCAAATGGGACAGTCTGGACATTCACTACGGGGGCACTTGCACATTGTCCCCAGCATCTGTGGGGCAAACATGGTTTTGAGAGATTAGTAAGGACTGATGATGAATTAAATGATAATACTCATCTCCCTTCTTTCCACCCCACCGCCCCCCCCCCCAGCCCCCAATAGTTTTCCTTTGGACAAATAACGATTGACATGGACTTTTCGTTGAATCAAAGGGATAAAAAAAAAAAAAAGAGAGAGAGAGAGATCTTAAAGACAACACACAGTGGCAAAGCAAACACGGAAAAGATGCATCTTTTGAGCAGAGAGCTCTGCTGTTGGAAACCAGCATCTCGGTGTTCTGTCTTGGGTTCCCCTGGGAGCCTAAGGCAGAGAGTGGGCAACACCGCGGTGCTCAAGTCTGGGGCCGCTTTCTGGGTGAGGCATCGGGACAGCCCCGAGCCATGGTGCACCGCGGCCTCCCTGGGCCCTCCCCTCGGGTGGAAATCCATACGGTACTGGATGGCTGTTGGGTCAAGGCACTGGCGTGTACGGCCGGAGGCAGTGGGTCACTGGCAGTGGAGTCCGTGCGCTAATACATCACAGCAGACTCCCGAGTGGGCTCCTGTGGAAGACAATGAGCGCACGGTCACCAGCCGCTTGGCCAAAGTAAGAAAAGGCAACGAAAAATGTCTCCTTTTTTTTTTTTTTTAAAGTAGACTTCACACCCAGCATGGAGCCCAATGTGGGACTCGAACTCAAGACCCTGAGATCAGACCTGAGCTGAGATCAAGAGCTGCATGCTTAACCGACTGAGCCACCCAGGCTCCCCTAAGTTCTCCCAAGTTTTAAGTCAGTTCTTACTAATGTTCTGATTTAATTCTTATTTTATTAGAATTAAGCCTTTAACATTTATTATTATATATTTACCTCACATTGTGTTATTTAAATTAAAAATTTACATCGTCTGTTAGAATCTCTTATTTTTATTTTATTTATTTTTTTCCTTGATTTGGCTTACAACACATTTTCTGCTTTATATTTTTCCAAAGAATAAGCTCTTGAATTTATGATCATTCCTATAGTCTTCTGGTTTGCATTAATTGGTTTCTGCTTTATTTCTGATGTTTGGAATGCAACGTCTAGTTCACTTGCTTTGTCTTTTCCTTCTTTAATAACAAAGAAAATTTTTGATACTATGAGTCTGACTCAGTGTAGTTTTATATGTCTTTCATTTGTTTTGATACATGTAATGTTTTCATTTGCTAAGTGCTCTGTGGATTTGCTTTGCTCTTTAGTTCAGAAGTTGCTTGGAGATGTGTGTGTGTGTGTGTGTGTGTGTGTGAGAGAGAGAGAGTGAGTGTGTGTGTGTGAGTGTGTGTATGGTTGTATATGTGGGTGTACATGTTTTCTAACTTCCAAGTAGAGTTTCTGTGTATTTTAAGTTTTGTTCTAATTTTCTAGGTTTGCTCTGTTACTTATGGTAGTCTAGCTATATGTGGCTCTTTGCATTTAGATTAATTCAAATGAATAAAATTTAAAAACTCAGTTCCTTCAAGGCAGAAGCCACATTTCAAGTGCTCAACAGCACACATGGCTTGTGGCTGCCATACTGTGCACTGCGACACAGGACATACCCATCATTTTGGAGCGCTCCATCTGGCAGCACTGTTGGAGATCCTTTCTTCCTTGTTTTTTTAATTTTAAAAAATGTTTATTCATTTTTTGAGAAACAGAGACAGAGCATGAACAGGGGAGGGGCAGAGAGAGGGAGACACAGAATCTGAAAGAGGATCCAGGCTCCGAGCTGTCAGCACAGAGCCCGACGCGGGGCTCGAATTCTCGAACCGCAAGATCATGACCTGAGCTGAAACCAAGAGACGAATGCGTAACTGACTGAGCCACGCAGGCGCCCCAATTTTTTTAAGTCAAAAGTGAAACATCCTTCTTTGTTTTCTCCAAATGTTTTTCTCTTGAATTCTACTTTGCTTGAAAGTGATATTGTTCTTTCTTCTTTGTTTGCATTTGTTTAGTAAATATTGTCCATTCTTTCATTTTTAACCTCGCTGTATTATCTAAAGGTAACTTATTTTTCAAAATAATTTGAGGTGAAATTTATGTGATGTAATATTAACCATTTTATTTTGTTTTATTTTGTTTTATTTTATGTTGAGAGAGAAAGAGCATGAGCAGGGGAGAGGGGAGAGAGGAAGGGAGAGAGAGGGGGAGAGAGAGAGAGAGGGAGGGAGAGAATCTTAAGCAGTCTCCACTCTCAGCGTGGAGCCTGATCTTACTACCCTGAGATCATGACCTGAGCCACCGCTAAGAGTTAGACTCTCAACCCACCGAGCCACCCAGGTGTCCCAACACTAACCAGTTCAAAGTGAACAGTTCAGTGGCATTCAGTACCTTCACAGCCACCACCTCTCTCTAGTTTCAAAACACCCTGTCCCTCTAAAGTAAAACCTCCTATCCACCAAGTGGTTTCTTCCGACGGCCCCTCCCACAGCCCTCGGCAACCACTGATCAGTGTTCTGTCTCTACGAAAGGTAATTTATTTGTAACTGTCTCATCTATAACAGAGTCCTTCCCTGACCCTAGTTGTCTGCCATTTTGGGTGTGTAATGCATCATTTTTACTCTTTGAAATAACGATCTGACGGCCAGGAGTGATGTAACTGGACTCTAAAAGGTGAGGGGTAATGGCTGAGCAGTGAAGAAAAGCTGGTGTGCAGTCCCCTTGCCACGGGTGCCTAAGAGATGCAGCGATCTGTAACCCCAAAGGGCACGCCCCCCGTGACGCCATTACCCCGTGCTCCTGCACCTCAGAGCACGGGGCAGTGAGGGGGAGAAAGGGGCAGGGAGGGATAGGTGAGGCATAATCTTGCCCTTGCTTTAGTCTTGTCGCTCAGACCTCGTCCACCCTCAGCATATTGGTGCCACTGAGGGAGGTCAGCTGGATTAATACTTCCCATATAAGCGGCACCACGCCTTGACCAAAATCCGGGGCATGCTGGTGTCCAGACAAACAGTCCATTTGCCAGAGTTCTGTGCAAATTATCTCCTGTCCCTTCCTTTGCATTTAGGGGCAGCTGCTGACTTTTTTTTCAGGAGCACAACAAGTAATTAATGGCTCATAAGAAATTTAAGGAAGAGTGAATATGGATCAAACACGGGATAAAAACCCTGACACCTCAACCAGACCTTACATTCCTATGTACGTATTTTTATTTCTCTCACAGCAAACCCTACGTAAGGCGCTGGATATACCGTTGAGGGGACGTATCCATATATCAAAGAAGTCAGCAATACCGGGCATGGTGCTCGTCACTTCTCACTGCACCCCTGCCCCCCGCCTGTCTCCCCAACCAACGGACCATGAGATCCTGCACGGAGGATGCTTCCTGGGGCTCCGATGGGGGAGGTGCAGATAGGAGGCACCATCGGCGCGGAAGCGATGGGCACCGAGACAGAGCTGACTTACCATCAAATCCTTGGTGGTGTTTTTCCTTTCATTCGTCCTGTTTGTCAAGGAGCCTTGGAGAAGGAAGTTGCGGTTAAATGTTTTAGTGGTGGTTGCCGAAGATGCCTCAGTGGTTTCAGCTAAAAGGAAACAAATGGAAGTGAGTGGTACCCAGAAGCGGGGACAAGTGTTGAGGAAGAAAGACCATGTGTGCCCATCACCCAGATTTTTGTTCTTGACTCGGCATCTCATTGGAGTCCACAGGTCTGACTGTGGAACCTTTAAATTTTGTGTTTATTTTTATGATAGGCACCAAAAAAACTCAAGAATCGTTAGTGGCTTTCCAGGAAAAGGTAGCTTGGAGATAATCTAACATAGTTCATAAATTCTTATTTGCAATTCTGGACTCTACAATGATGTAAAGACTGAAAATCTTTGTAACTTTGGGGCCAAAACTGTCTGAAGGCAAACCCGGACTGAAACTGACACGTGGCCATTTAAAATGCTGGTCCATCCCACCCGGAGTGAACATTCTTGTGCTTTGGTGAAAGGATCTTAATGTGTTTATCAGATGCTTCCCCAGACACTAGAGGGAGAGGGCTGTTCTGAAGTATGCAGTACATGTACCACCTTAGCTTTCTAGTGTCCAACACGTCCTGAAACATATATTTATCCAGGGGTTTCAAATAAGGGACCATGGATCTGTCATAAATGGTAACTGTATAGGATCTGATGGAATATAAAGTAGGCATTCAGTAAATGTTTGCTGAAGAAAGATCAGTGGAACCAAGACTCAAACATCTATCTTCTGTCTACTCTTCTACGTTGTAGATCGAAATTTCTACTTTGGCATCGTCTTATGTGGCTCCTGAACCCAGGGGAATTGTTGAAAATGCCCAGTGGATGAGGATGACATCACCAGCATTGCTGGAGTCCCTTCTGGGTTGGGCCTTCGGTGTCCCGCCCACACTTCCCTGATGTCACCACACATTCTGACATTCCCCACATTCCGACAGCATGTGGCCATAAGCCCCGTCATTCTCTTGTCTATGCATGGGGCGGGGCAGAAGTGCTAGGGAGTTAATGCCTCCCCACCCCCACCGGAAACTTCAGGGGATAAGAGCTGACCGCTGACATCCTCATCTTCTGTTCTTTGGGCAGGGAACTCTGAGGTGCAGTCAATACTGTCTCCCAGAAGTCCCCAGCAGGTCTTAGCCTCAGTTGCCCAGAAAGTAAGCTATGAACTAAATTGCACTGTACTGGGGCACCTGGGTGGCTCAGTCTGACTCCCGATTTCAGCTCCGGTCATGATCTCAGCGCATAAGTTCGAGCCCTGCGTTGGGCTCTGTGCTGATAGTGCGGAGCCTGCTTGGGATTCTCTCTCTTCCTCTCTCTCTGCCCCTCCCCGCTTGCACATACACACACTCTCTTTCTAAATTAATAAATACACATTAAAAAAAGAAATTATACTGTACTGACTTAATTTGCTTCCCTGAATCATTTCTCTCTTTTCCTACCACGTAGGAATCACGTCTCAAATCACATCCTTGTGTGTGGATCCGCTTCTTGCGGGGGGATTCAGATTCTCCACAAGAGGACTTCTGGGTAGGAGCCCCCCATTAGGTCTGGTTCTCAGACTCAGATCACGGAGTCACTCAAAATAAGTAAGTCAGGCTTAATTCTTTGGTAGCTTTGCAGGTTTGACTTCAAGCACACCTTTCACTGGCGGGGCAGGCAGTTTCCTCCTTTGCTGCCTCGATGTGTCTATGGTTTGTACCTATAGACAGAATGCAGTGGTCAATAACACTTCACAAAGCCAACGATTTCTTATCTTCTAATTTTCCGGGTCATGCAATATTCCAGCAGAGGGAGGGAGGGACAAACGCACCTGGTTCCTTTGCTTCTGATCTCGTTTTCTTGTGAGGCGCACACATGGGGCTATGTTTAATCCCGCGATGGTCAGGGCTGAAATCCGGCTCTCGATATCAGAAATCTGAATGCAACAGAAAGACAGCATTGGTAGGGGAAAAGCACAGGAGGGGAGAGTGTTATAAGTGTTGGGAATCTATAAAGATGAAAGCTGCTTTGATGTATGTTCGTGCATTCAACTTCTTCTTTGTTTTTAAGATTTAAAAACAGAAAATCTTAACACAACGTAGGGCTCGAATTCACAACCCTGAGATCAAGAATCGTGTGCTGTACTAAGCCAGCCAGGTGCCCCTCATTCATTCAACTTCTACCAGGCCCTTCTCTGTCTAGTGCTGTAGTAAGAAAACACAACATAGGCTTTTCTTTGTAAATTTAAATGTCTAGCTTGGTAGCTCCAGGGTATATCAACACCCCCGTCAGAGTATTTCTAGGGATAAATGGAAGCCCAGAGCATGATGGGAACCCTGGCCGGGGGGCCTCCTGGCTCAGCATGGTGGCGGAGGGGTGTGAAAGGTGGTCAGGGGAGGCTTCCATAGCAGGCAACACTTGACGTGGACTGTCAGGTGTGATTCACAGGTCCTTCTTCCATCTTCCATGACTCCAAGAGCCAAAACCACACAGCACCAGCTCTGAGGAGGTGAACAGCCCCTGGTTCAAGTCCATTTCTTTCAGGACAAGTGCCTTGAGAAACTCCCTCTTCTCTCTGGGCATCAGTTTCCTCGACTATAACATCAGAAGATCAGAGAGAGTTCGGATTTTTTCCCAACAGAGTCGTAAGGCAGATACCGAGCACAGGAGCCCATTCAGTGCCCGGAAAGAACCCTGATCCACGCAGGTCCCCAGGATTGAGGAAGACACAGTCCATCTCCGGGAAAAGAGCATTGATATGTGCCTGCCATCATGCTAAGCGCTTTAAATATGTGAACTCATTCCCGCTTTGCTCATGAGCTCATTCATAAGCCTGTGTCACGGGTGCCACGGTTTCACAAACGGGGAGACCGTGGGTCACAGGGTTCAGAGCTGGTCTGGGGCAGAGCTCTGGATTAAGGCCAACGCTCACGCTCTTGCCACACGGCCCCAGAGGACCTGCCAATGCCTGCCACGGGGACACAGGAGGAGGCCGGAGCCGGCTGGCGGGGGAGGGGGAGGCAGGGACCACTGCCCTCTCACTGATCTCCTGACACAGCCTGAGTATGACTGGGGCGTCAGGCCCGGAACCTGAAAGTCGGCCATGCAGCCAGCGTACGTGGCACTCTGCCCTGAGGACTCCCTACCTCCCCATCCCTGCACTCTCTTGAGCTGCTCAGGACAAATCTGTCCTTTCTCTGACAGTGGCCCGCGGTACGGGACAGTCTCCATGCTTCTGAAGGTTCCCAGGTTGAGAGAAGGCCCCTAAAACGGAAGGCGGTGTGGACGCCCTCCTTTGCACATGAAGGACACTTAGGCAAGGGAGGGACTATGTGTCTGAAGCCAGGTCCGACATGTTTCTCAGGAAGCCACACAGCGCGGGCTGGCGGAGAACGTGGCGAGCTCAGGAGGACAGCTACAAACCCTGCTCCATCACCTGCTAGTTACTTGACCTTGGGCAAGTGATGTAACCTTTCTGATCCTCAGTCTCCCTAGAAATAAAAGGGGAACATAAAAGGAGCCACCTCACGGGGTTGCTGGAAGGATTTATTACGATAATGAGGTCAAGTGTTAAGTAGAACCTCGGGCACAAAGTAAGGCTCGCTGAACACTAGGCATTATTGAACACGTTACTCTAATGTTCAAAAATGTATAAAAACCAGGCACATTGAAACACAGAGAAAATGCTATTTTGGGCTCCAGGATTTTCTGCCATAAAGCATGGCTCCAACAATTTAAGACGGGAGAAATCTAGAAGCGGGAATGATGAATTACCCAACATAACCCTCCCAAACACCCAAAAATAATATTACTTCCGGCTAAACCATTCAAGAAGTTATTTGCTGCAGGGTGTACTCCCAGAAAACAAATGATTTGATTCCACTTTCTACAGCTTTGACAGTAAATTGATTAAACATTGGGTGGCACTTAGGGAAAATGATTTGTATATGGGGAGAGACACTCTTAAGCTGTTTTTGCTGATAACGAATAGTGGATGGAGCCATGTCTAATGAGGCCACACCCAGCACACAGTGTTAACGCACCCACAGTGTGCAAAATGGGCGAGGTCACATTCTCAAGAGTGCTTCGTGCTGTCAGTGGTGGTTGTAATTTTTGACTCTCTAAAACCAAAATACCTGTTTAAAAAATAATTACCAGTCAAGACTGTCCTCTCTATCCATAGGTGGTTTCTATTGACCCCAGTTCTCCGAGGATGCAGTTTAAAGACGCAAGGTGTATATCCGTGAGCCAGGGGTTTATACTGAGCTTACAGTGCAGAGATCAGCAAGTCTCACGGACCCCACTTTGAGGATCAGCAACTTAAACCATAGTCAGTTCTGATCCAGAGTCAGAGGCCATGGCAATGTCCATGCGCACTGCAAACACGTGTCTTCACAAAGTTACAGACAGTATCATTTCAGTTCTGAATCGGCCATATCAAAATCACGCTAAATACGGGTTTGAGAAATCTCCCTTCCTTCCTCCTTCCTTCCTTTCTTCCTTCCTTCCTTCCTTCCTTCCTTCTTTCCTTCTTTCTTTCTCTTTCTTTCTTTCCTTCTTTCTTTCTTTCTTTTCTTCTTTTCTTCCTTCCTTCTCTTTCTTTCTTTATTTCTTCCTTCCCTCCCTCCCTCCTTCCTTCCTTTCTCTTCCTTCCTCTCATAAAGAAATCTGTATTTTCAGTTTCTTTTTTTTTTTTTATCCATAACTATTTTATTTTATTTTTCATTCTCTAAGAATATCTTTAATAAAATTTGGCCTAATACATTGTCATATTTTTTCTTGAGTATGTCCTATTTTTTTTTTTTACAAATAGTTTATTGTCAAATTAGTTTCCACATAACACTCAGTGCTCATCCCCACAAGTGCCCTCCTCCATGCCCATCCCCCCTCCCCCCCCACATCCATCAGTCCTCAGTTTTTGTCAGCATTCAAGAGTCTCTCATGGTTTGCCTCTCTCCCTTTCCCCCACCATTTCTGCCCTTCTTCTCCCCCTTGTTCCTCCGTCAAGTTCCTCCTAATCCTCCTATACGTGCAAACATATGATATTTGTCCTTCTCTGCCTGACTTATTTCACTCAGCATAACACCCTCAAGGTCCATCCATGTTGCTACACAGGCCAGATTTCATTGTTTCTCATTGCCATGTAGTATTCCATGGTATAGATAAACCACATCTTGATCCATTCATCTGTTGATGGACACTTAGGCTCTTTCCATGTTTTAGCTATTGTGGAGAGTGCTGCTATGAACATTGGGGTCCATGTGCTCCTATGCCTCAGCATTTCTGTATCCCTGGGGTAAATTCCTAGCAGTGCTATTGCTGGGTCATAGGGGAGTTCTATTGTTAGTTTCCTGAGGAACCTCCACACTGTTTTCCAGAGGGGCTGTACCAGTTTACATTCCCACCCACAGTGTAGGAGGGTGCCCGTTTCTTCACATCCTCGCCAGCATCTAGAGTTCTCTGATTTGCTCATTTTAGCCACTCTGACTGGCGTGAGGTGGTATCTCAGTGTGGTTTTGATTTGTATTTCCCTGATGAGGAGGGATGCTGAGCATCGTTTCATGTGTCTGTTGGCCATCTGGATGTCCTCTATGGAGAAGTGTCTGTTCATGTCTTCTGCCCATTTCTTCACTGGGTTGTTTGCTTTTCGGGGGTGAAGTTTGGTGAGTTCCTTATAGATTCTGGATATTAACCCTTTATCTGATATGTCATTTGCAACTATCTTTTCCCATTCTGTTGGTTGCCTATTAATTTTCTGGGTTGTTTCCTTGGCTGTGCAGAAGCTTGTATTTTCAGTTTCATTCAGCTATTCACCCCAGTTTTATTCAAAGTCCCAAACCCGTGTCAGGCATGTCAGACACTGAAGTCACTGTGTGCAGCTGGACTGCTCATGGGGCCTTTCGTGCAGAGAGGGGGAAACGGGCCTCAGTAAGTCATCAGCAGTGAGCACAGGTCAGGGGAGGGTGGGCTGGGAAGGAACGGGGCCGTACAGCAAGGAGGCCTACGGATGGGTCCGAGAATTTGTGCAAGAGGAAGGTGACATGGGTTTACAGAGAGCTCCGGTACGTTATCAAGGCTGTAGTGTTCGGAAGGAGGGCTGGGGGAACCCCTGGAGGGCCCAGGCGCGCCAGGGAGCTGGGGCGGGGGCCGCGCGACGGGGCGCCCCCCCTCCCCCCGCCCTGCATGGGGGCGGGAGGCGGCTCTTACCTGGAGCTCCGCGTGGTGAACCTGCGCTGCGGCCGTGGCCACCTGGTCCTCCAGCTCGGCCAGCGCGGTGTCGTCGGTGCCGCTGTGGATGCGGCGGGCGGCTCCCTCCAGCTCGCTCAGCTGGCCTTCGAGTCCGTACACGGTGCCCGCCGCCAGGTACACCTGCGGGGGGGGGGGGGCAGCCCTGAGCCCCGGCCCTGGGACCAGCGCCCCTTCAGGGCGCCCAGGCTCAGCCCCGGGGGTGGGGGGGACAGGGAACGCCCCCATTTATAAACCTTCCTTCCTAAACGTAAACGGTAGCGTGGGGTCTGCCTACCCGCTCACTGTCAACTGCAACCCCCACCTCACCTTCCCGGCAAGAAAAAGCAACTTTTAAGTTCTGAAAAAATGATTTTTAAAATAGTCCAAAGTACACGGCATCAGCTACACAGACTGCAAATCTGTCCAGTGATTCCAGCCGTAATGCCAAGATGAAGAAGCAAAGAACAACTCATGATGTGATTTTTCCAGTAGAAATTTTGGTTGAGGAAAAATAAGATGAAAACAGAGAAGGAGGCAAATCATAAGAGACTCTTAAGCCCGGAGAACAAGCCCGGAGAACAAACCGAGGGTTGCTGGAGGCGTGTTGGGTGAGGGATGGGCTAAACGGGCGCGGGCAGTAAGGAGGGCACCTGTTGGGAGGAGCACTGGGTGTCCTATGTAGGGGATGAATCACTAAATTCTATTCCCGAAGCCATTATTACGCTGTGTATGTTAACTAACTTGAATTTAATAAAAATTTAAAAAATTTTTAATTTTTGCTTGGCATTTGGTAACTGAGAAAAATTCAGAAAACATAAAAGAGATGAAATTAATGAAAAACAATGAACAACTGAAAATATTTTGAATGAATTACCTCTGATTACCTACAGCAGGCTAAGGGGATGAAAAGGGACCTGAAATTCAGGAAAATAGTTTATTTCTTAGAAAAAGGTGCAGTGTTAAAAGAAACCTGTCAAATATATTCATCTGCCAAGGAAAACAGTTTGTTGAGAGCTCTTGAAAATTAAAGAGAAAATCAGACAAAGAAAGGGAGTTGAGGAAAAGTCAAAGGGAAAAAATGCTGACTCAGGAGCTAATAGAGCGATTGCAATAAAAGTGGGCAAACAGAAGGTAGAATCCTTGGACTCATTCAGACCACGGATGCCAGCAAGGAGGAGTGAAACAAATTCTCTTCTGCCTAAAGAATAGCGTGGATGAAACAACCAATGACCCGGGAAGAGATTGATCTAAAGAAGCTAATTGCTTAACGAGGGGTTTCTGAAATGTCATCAAAGTCCACAAAGCTCTAAATGTGCAATTGCAGCAATTTAAAGTTGATTTGAATGAAAAGACATGGCGGTCACACAAGCTCTTCTAATTTGAGTTAAAAATAAACCAGAGTGGGGATGAACCAAGAGCTTGTGCACACGGGTCATGCACGTGTTTGGCGCTGGGCTACACGGAGGGTCGGTGAGTTGGGGAAAGAACACCGAGAGGCTCCTAGCCTGTCAACTCCTTGGCCTGATTCCTCATCTCCATCAAAACTGGCAATTTTAGGGGCGCCTGGTGGGGCTCAAACGGCTAAGCGTCTGACTTCAGCTCAGGTCATGATCTCACGGTTTGTGAGTTCAAGCCCCGCATCGGGCTCTGCACTGACAGCTCGGAGCCTGGAGCTCTCCCTCTCTCTGCCTCTCTCCTGCTCGCTCTCTGTCTCTATCTTGAAACTAAATAAACATTAAACATGTTTTTTAATAATGAAAAACCCTGGCAATTTTACACAACATTTCAGAGTGCAGCAAAGGCGGGTGCAGGTTTGCTGAATGAGCATGTGTTCCTCCCCAGGCACGATGGGCTTGGCCTGCGGAGCTTCTGGGGGTAACTACGGTAGCGGAAGTCCGTCGTGGTAAGCGATTCGTCTGTCATATAGGGGGTCGTGAATCGAATGTCTGCCGACAGTCGCTGTATTTCAGTGTGCCCTTAGAGTTACATTTCTTGGTCACATGTGAGCATCAGAGAACTTCTGTTTCTAAAATCTCCTCACAGTTTAATATATTTACTCTTTGTCTTAAAGACAAGATACACCTTCTTTATTGTTTGTCGCCTGAAGGAAATTTCTCAAATGAAAAATTTGAGTGAGTGTTTCAAAGCTATTTGAGTGGAGAAAACCTTAAAAATGTGTCTCTTAAAAGTTGTGAAGTTGGGGCGCCTGGGTGGCTCAATCAGTTGAGAGTCTGACTTCGGCTCAGGTCATGATCTCACGGTTCGTGGGTTCGAGCCCCGCGTCGGGCCCTGTGCTGACAGCTCAGAGCCTGGAGCCTGCTTCTGATTCTCTATATCCCTCTCTCTCTGACCCTTCCCTGCTCACACTGTCTCTCTCTCTCTCTCAGAAATAAATAAGACATTAAAAAATTTTTTTTTAAAGTTGTGAAGTTAAAAGTTTCTCTTCAGAGGGGAAGAAAATTGAGGGGAGAAAGAAAGTGGGAGAGAGGATACAAGGTAAATGGATTTTGATAAGATACTTTTATTTTTTAAATTTTTATTTAATTAAAAAAATTTTTTTGAGAGAGAGAGAATGAGTGCAGGGGAGGGGCAGAGAGAGAGGGAGACAGAGGATCTTAAGCTAGTTCTGCACTGACAGCAGAGAGCCTGATGTGGGGCTTGAGTTCATGACCTGAGCCGAAGTTGGATCCTTAAGCGACTAAGCTGCCCAGGTGCCCCTTAATAAGATAACTTTATTTTATTATTATTAATTAAAATTTTTTTTTTATTTATTTGAGAGAGACAGAGATAGCGTGAGCAGGGGAGGAGTGGAGAGAGAGGGATAGAGGATCCCAGGCAGGCTCCTCGTTGTCAGAGCAGAGCCTGGACCCTGAAACCGTGAGATCACAACCTGAGCTGAAACTGAGAGGCTGACGCTCAACTGACCGAGCCACCCAGGCGCCCCTAGATAATTTTAAATATAAACTTACAGTGTTACACAATGAAACAAAATTTGGAATTATTATTTAAATGAGATCAATAATCTGAGTGAGTGTGACAATAGGGTTAAACATAACTTTTGTTCTTAATGTTTATGTATTTTTGAGAGATAGAGAGAGACAGAACAAGAAGGGGGCGTAGAGAGAGGGAGACACAGAATCTGAAGCAGCTCCAGGCCCTGAGCTGTCAGCACAGAGCCCGACGCGGGGCTCGAACTCACGAACCGTGAGATCATGGCCTGAGCCGAAGTCGGATACCTAACCGACTGAGCCCCCCAGGTGCCCCAAACATAACTTGACATGACTTTGGTCTCAAGAGCCTGGATTTTTCCAGAAACACACAGAACTCAACATCACCTCACTCTACAGCTGTACCGTCTCAGTCTTATTTTGTCTTCAATACGGTCACCCGATAATGCTTTTTGTTTTCTCTGCCAAATCAAAGCACTATGAAGGGGCTCGAAGCCTCCGAGCTCCAGTACAAAAGAGCTCAGTAAGGCCAAAATGTTCACCTTTTACTCTGTGTTCTTCCCTGAGCGCCTGCTTTCCTGGCTCGAGGGGAAGGGAAGGTTCTGCGGTTTGGCCCCAACGCCGGCTGAGCAGGAACTCACTGCCCCGGTGATGGCGATGGTGCGGAAAGGGCCTGAGATGGTGACGGCACACATTTATGGAGCCAAGGGCTCCATGCGACATTTCTCCCTTACTGCTCGTGGCGGTCCCCGAGGTGGGTGCTCTTATAGTCACGGTGTCAGAGAGGGGAACGCCGTGTCCGGAGGCCTCGCGGCAGGAAGTGGTGGAGCGAGGATCTGAGCTCGGCGGCCGATGCCAGTCCCTAGGCCTTTACCCACCCTGCCCTACGGGGCCCTGATACTTAATTTGGTTGCCAAGCTACGTTACGACGTCTTACATTTCCAACTCTGACCTGAGATCCTAGGGTTCCTGTGCTTATAGAGCAACGTGACCTTTGCTCTGTTGCCGGGGCTAAAATAACAAAAGTTAACGTCCTGTGACGATGGAAATGTTACTGTAATCTTAAAGAAACCTCCCCAAATAAACCCATTTGCAAGCCATGAACCTGAAATCACTGGCCAAGTAAAGGCCTATGTTTGGCGAGAACCATGGCCGCCATGTTTGTGTAATCTATGTCTTCTCCAAGCTCCAGCCACCGATGCCCATGCACTGGCTCCGGGTTCAAAATGCCTTTCTCAAAGTGGTTTCTCAAACCGAGAATAGGCGTTTCATGATGGAAGGACTTTGTGGTCAAAGCCTCTAGGATGAAGAGAATTAAACATATTTCTATGCTGTGGGACTTTGTAGAGTCTTTAATGTGCTAATCCGTATCTCAATTTTCCTAGAAAGACACCTAGATTGACCAAACTGATTTGATCTTATAGCATCTTGTTGGACTTACCTTCCAGGAAGCACGTTCTAGAGAACTGAAGCTACACAGGAACTGACAGCAATTCTTTGCTTGCTCTGGAGGGCAGAGGGCACCGGAGTGGCCAGGACCATCTCCAGGGCCACAGCCGCTGCAGGGCCCTAGGGCTACCCGAGAGCCTCGAGGAGGAGGACCAGCACCCTCCGCCTGGTCCCGGATTCTGCGGCGGAGCGGGGTCCCTCAAGGGGAAGTGCCACCGTGTCTCCGGCCACGACCTACGCGATGGATTTGGTGTGGCCAGAGTTACAGGGCAGTGCTCAGAGGGAAGTTGCGACTGTCCTTCGACCACCCCTTGTGCTGGGAAATACTGGGCGCCCCAGGCTGTCTGGGAGGTCCTCAGATGGTGGCGGTGCGGGGGGTGGGGGTGGGGAGGCGGCTGACTCGTCCCTCCCACTCATCACCCTGCGTCAATCACAAGATGGCCTCTGTGGTCCCTACTGCTCACACCACAGGTCTGAGAACGGTCATGCTAGTCCTTGTGTTGACTCGCAGACCCATTTTCCACCCCTCTCAGCCCCACTCTGTCCACCTGTGTGGACCCCATCACCAGGGCGCCTTGCTGGCTGGGGCGGGTTTGGCCAGCGGCAGACACCAGCAGGAGATCAAAGGCAGGAGGAGAAAGACATTCGTCTCCCGTAGCCCTGCTCGCTCTCTGTGTGGGCTTCCTGGCGACAGCTCCCTCCAGGGGGCGACCTCTAGGCTCCAGCTCTCCATGGGCTACACCCTCAGGGGTGCAGACCCCGTGACCGCTCTCCCCGCCCCCGACTGCTACTCCCCGGGTGCTACAGCAGCCCTGAGCCTTACCCACACTTCCTGAAACTTGCTTTCCCAGCCAGGTCCCTGCGGGGACAGTGAAACCCTCCACCTCACAGCCAGAGCTTCGGGCGTGCAATCCAAGGCACTGAGCTCCCAGTGGTGCACGGGGGAGGCTGCGATTGGCCCCAGGCTCCCCCTGCCTGCAGGGGAGACAAGAGCTGATTTCACAGAGCCAAGCCAGGCAGCAGGTGAGACTCGAGGAATTCTGAAATCCCCAAGCCCGACTCCCATTAAGTGGATCAACAAGGCACTTGGTGAAAACAGGGGAAGGGCATTCTTTTGTTATCTTAGGTAGCTCCGAAACCTTCCCACGTCTTTTTAAAGGTGAAACATTCTCAAGCCAATGTTCCCTTTCATCTCTGAGTCCCCGGGCTGGTCCTCGGTAGCCAGCGTTCAGAAGGCCAGAAGCCGTGTCTCCGGTGCTATTTCTGACAGTCCCCATTCCTCGGCACAAAGGAGCCGGGCAGCGAGAGAGACAAGTGAGGGAGCCGTTCTTTAGCACACGGACAGACAAAAGCCCGGTTTTGTTACATCAGCTGCACCCAGAGGCCCGTGTCAGAAATCGGCCTTGCCCTTCTGCCGCTCGGCTGAATTCCATACTGGAAACCGCAGCGCCAAACCCACCCAGGGCTCTGTGATCTCTGTCTCTAAGGAGATAATGAAAAGAGCCCTCCCTTCTCTGACTCCAAACCCACGGAATTCAAAGGAACAGCGATGGAGTTTCTTCTGGGTGTGGTTTGAAGAGCTGGATGGGAGGGGGGTGGAGGGAGGAGCAGCTGACTCCTGGGGAACAGGGGAGGCATCTCGAGGTGGGTGCAATGCCGGCCTGCACTGCAGGTGCCTGCTGGGGCTGCCGGCCTCTCGCGTCAGCCGGTACGTGCATGTGTTCTAACTGGGGGTGTTAAGGAGCCCGAGGAAGGGAGACATGGTGTGTGATGAAAGGATGCTACAGAATGAAAACCCCCACGAGGCCACTGCATTTGTCACGATGCCCCTTGGAGGGGAAAAAAAAAAGCAGGCTGTTGCTTTAAGTCTGTGCCACGGGACCCACGCTTGTCATTTAAATCTGAATATTTCACCCGTTGCATGTTTTGCTTTAATCCGATACTTTGAAAAACCCACCCGCTTCCTGGAGAAGCATGTCTTGACTTTAACTTTTTCACCTCTGTGTGCCTAGGATCACGGCCATTTGAGGACTATCGGCACTTAATAGATAGATAATATAGATAGATAAATAACAGAACTTATTACAGACATATCTAAAGAACAGAGACCCTACGCCTTAGAAGTAAAACATTTCTTCCTGAGAAAAAGGACTTCATCCGTCAGAATCTTCTATCAGGTGAACACATTCTCTGAGCACCTCTGTGTCCGGCTGTGGGCAGGGCTGGGCTCGTGACGGGCAAGACCCCGTTCGGCAGGGGCTATACATCTGCTGCCTGGTCTGGGGGGTGGCTGCGCCTCCATTCGGCTCCTCTCCAACGTCTGACAACGTTTGGAGACATTCGATCGTCACAGTGAGGAGGGGGCTGTTCCCGGCATCTCGTGGGTAGGGGCCCGGGGTGCTGCGCATGCTGAACCACACAGGCGCCCCCCCCAACAAAGAATCATCGAACCCGAAATGTCGATGGTGCCGATGTAATGGGGACAGATGAACAGGTGGGAAGGGCAGCCAAGTGAGGCTAAGTGGCAGATGGATAGACCTCGGCTTAGGCTTTATGGGAACTCAAAGGGAGAGAGTCTTCAACTTTCAAGGTAAAGCAACTACTGGCATTTTTTTTTTTTAACCTGGAGTCATTCTGATTTGTTGTCGTTTCAGCTTTTTGCAACAACTGCCTCTACCAACCGGTCCCCATCTCTGAGAACTGCGTTCCTGACAGCTGCCCAGAGTCAGGGCTTGTCCTGGCCGGGTCTGGGAAGGAGGGACCACCCGACTTCATTTGGCATTGTGGGCATGACGATGCCAGCAGGAGATGGTGACGGTGGCCCCCGTGGCTAACGTTCCAAATCTCTCTGTGTCACCCCCTTTCTGAATGGCAAATCCTCATCAGACCTTTATTAGAACACTCAGCAATGGGCGTGGGTATTTATATGTAGGAATCTGCTCCCTCCTTCCTTTCCTCCTGAGCGAGGCTAGAAAAATCCACTACCAGCACACAGACCCGTAAGCAGGGCAGGCCACTTGTGACCCAAGTTCCGTTGGCAACCACCCCCCTTCCCTCTAGCGGCACCGGCCGTGCTCCACCGGATCCTCCCCGGGCCCCTTTCTAGTTTTGCACTGCCCCACCCCCGCTCCAGTGTGCTTGGGGTCCCCGCCGCTCAGCCCTACACCGAAGCCTGCCTTGGGCTACTCTAGACGCTTAGCCGGCTTGCCCAGAGACTGAAGTGCCTGCTGGCTGTGCGAGAGGCCAGCTCCTTTGGCTCAGCTCAGGACACCTCTCTGAGATGCAGCTGATACCCCAGGGCTCCCTACGGGTCAAAGCTCCTCTCTGTCTAAGGTCACAGCTTCGCTTGACTTCATAGCTTCCCCTAGTCCCTCCCCCTCCCTGACCAGCCCCCCAGGGGGTGCACCGCCCAAGGCAAGCCATCCTCCCCTCGGGGTCTGCTTCCGGAGAGCCCGGCCTGACACCCTCCCTGAGCACTATTCGCTACGGTGGTGGCGGTGGGGGGGGGTGTGTGTGTGTGTGTCCTTGCACGGTCTGTGATGGGTCACAATGTCACCAGTTTCTTCTTCGCCCGTCTCCCGAGACGGGGAGCACCCGCGCTGTCTTACGTTTTCCTCCAAGGACGTCAGGTGTTCATCCAGTCTCACTTGGTCTGTCCCCAGGGGAAACGCCCCCTTCTCTCTGTCGGGAGGGACGGGCGGGAACTCCCAGCGCCCTGCGGACTCTGCTATCAGCTCCTCTGTGGCATTGATGACTTTCAGGACTTCTGTGGAGATGTTGCAGAGAGAAACAGCAGAATACTTCTGTTTGGTCCGATAGCAGAAGGGGACAGAAGACAAGAACAGCACATTAACAACGACACGGGAACTCCACATTGTCACGGTGCCCATCGTGAGACCGACTCCACCCTTCCACACGTGAACATCGGCGCGCCGAAGGAACACGAGGCTCAGGAAATCCACCCAGAAGGGAGGCGCCGGAGGAGGCCTGCTGTGACACGGCCTCGCTTCTGTGACTCACACGGAGTTGACTTTTCGGGAAGGAAGGAGACCTCACGTGGAGGCTACCGTGTCTCTGGCCCCCGCTGCCGGCTGCAGACACATTACCTCGTTGTTTGGACGGCATTCTACGCCCTCAACAGAACTTCAGCCACAGACTCTGTCAAACTACGTCCATGGTGTCATCCGGGAGGGAGCTTTCTGGACTGGGCGTTAAGAGGCCTGGGCTCTAGATCTGGCTCTACCTTCATTTAGTGTTGGGCTCTCGACCGAATTGCTTCATGCCCCTGGAGCTGTTTTGTCATCTGCACAAGGAGCCTGTTGGAAGAGCCTCCCCGCAGGGGTTCGGAAGCCCATTCTCCCTCGCTCTCCTCTACCGCAGAGGCGGGACAGAAGAACCCTCTGCTTCCCACCCCCCTGGTAGCCCGGGGCAGGCATGGGACACAGTGGTGACCCGTGAGCCCGACAGGAAAGCCTGCTGAGGGTAACCCGGTGAAGAGATCTAGCTGCGCTTCTTCCCCACTTCTTTCTGCCTGGATCACCGGTGTGCCGTTGTGACAGCGCTGAGGATGAACACCAAAATGCTGAGTCGGGTGGGGCAGAAAGACCGAAAGAGCCCGGCCCGGACAGCACTGGACCTGCGGAGCCCACTGTGAGCCACCGCCTGCCCCTGAACATCTTGTTACATGAGCAAATTAGTCCACTGCCCCTGCAGCCACTGCTGGCCAGGTTTTCTGTTATTTGCGGCTGAACATATGCCTCACTGACGCAAGTCACTTCCCTTCCAGCTTTGACATTCACGGCTGAAAGTGACGATCAGTCCAGGGTCTGGGCCAAGGGCATTGAAGGGGCAGAGGCAATTCAACCACAAAAAATTATCTGCCTCTTTGAGTTCATCAGAACGTAGAACATCATTATAAGCTGGAGATGAATGTTTCTTGGTAGTAGTGGCTTCTACCTATAATTGAGTTTATTTATCCCATCGAAGGGTTTGTAAATTGGAAGTCAAATATTGCTGACACACGTGTGTGTGTGTGTGTGTGTGTGTGTGTGTGTGTGTGTATTTACCATTAACCAGTAAAATGTTTCAAGAAAACCTGGAACTTTAATCTCTTTGGTACCTTCTAAGGTATCTTTCTGACTCATGTCTCCTGGCCAAAATATCAATGACAGCTACGGCTCGATTTTGCAAAAAGTGTTCCTCCAAGCAGATGCTACTGGAGGTTTTGTTTTGCTAGCAATGTTTTCTTAAATTTTTTAAATGTTTGTTTATTTTTGAGAGACAGAAAAAGAGAGAGAGAGACAGAGACAGAGCGTGAGCAGGAGAGGGGCAGAGAGAGAGGGAGACACAGAATCCGAAGCAGCTCCAGGCTCTGAGCTGTCAGCACAGAGCCCGACGCAGGACTTGAACTCAGGAACTGCGAGATCATGACCTGAGCCGAAGTCCAATGCTTAATTGACTGAGCCCCCCAAGCGCCCCGGAGGATGTTTTGATACCCTTCCCAATTCACCAGGGAGTCAAAGTGTTTAAGTGACAAGTCAGTGGCTGAGTCCACAGTCTAGAAACTGGTGCTGGGCTTCCACGCAGAGGCACACGGTCTCCTATCTGTCAACTCTTTGTAGGGTTAGGGCACATGTGATCAGAAGGCCCCCCATCTAGCCCGTCCACTCCGCAACAGCTGCCTGACCCAAGAGCCAAACTTCTTTTGCTTCAAGGGATTTGCTACACACGCAAACGATTGGGTGTGGGGTGTCGCGAGAAGGGGATGGAAGGGCGGTGTCCAAGGGAGCGGCCAGTGCCACCGCTTCACCCGAGGGGCTTGCAGGGGCTGCGCCACCACGGTCCAGGGCGCTGTGACTGGACGTGGCACCCTGTGAAGATGAACGGGTCTCCAGACGATTCTGGCACCAAACATCCTGCACTGTTTGCTTACGCCCCTTTCAGAAAAGGCAACAATATGTCACCCTTCTCCGAGTAAGCAAGTTCGTGTTTAGCAAGTGTAGGAGGGCAAGTGTGAAAATTCATACACAGTCCGACGAGTGCAGGGTCATTAAGGGGCCAGGGCTGTTCATGGAAAGGGCTTGAGAGCTTAAACAGAAGGGTAATCTGCATCTTGACTCCGACTGAACATGACCCACAAAGCGACGAGCTTGGATAACCCGTCCAAGCAACATGGACGGATCCCTGTTCCGCCCCAGCCAGTGTCGCCCATTCCGCCACAGGGGCTGCAAGCTGGGAGCCAAATCTTGCCCAGAGTCCTGCTTTATGACGAGAATGCCTTCCTTGAGACATGCACTTCCCAGGTCTCTGCAGTCCCCACATAAGTCATTCTGCATATTTTATTGGGGACGGTCTATGGCGTGGAGGCTCCGCTCTAGGTGCGGGGATAAAGCAGTGCACGTGGATGAAGTCCTGGCCCTCAAGGCGTGCCTGTAGCCCTCCCCCCGCCACCGGACATGCTGACGTACTTTCCTGGCCCCTGAAGGCACCTGTATGTGCCGCTGAGTCCGAGTGTGGGGTCCCTGGCGGCTGGTCCGGGGAGAGCGCCACAGTTTCCCTGGGAAGATCTGTGGTCTGGGGGAAGCTCCGGAAAACTTCAGAAGTGAATTAACCGCCAGCTGGGGGAAGTGGCCCCAAATCAATGAATCAATCAATCAGTCAATCAGTCACTCAGTCAAGTAAGTTAAGTATATGAGAACCGGACACGATCTCTCTGGGTGGTGAGCCAGTCGGCGGGACCACTGCCCCCGTCTGGTGGTGAGCTCTCCATGGGGACCCACGAGCCTCTGCAGGGAATCAGGTGCTCGGCACCCACTACAAAGGACTCACTGGGCCCTTTGCTTGGATGTGGGGGTGGGTGCGAGCAGTGCACTGACCTGAGGTTAAGACACCTGGGGTGTAATTAGCCACCGGACAGGGGCAGGGCTCCAAGCCTCCCTGTTCCTTGGTTTACTCCCTGGTCCAGCTGAGGAGATCAGAAGATTTGTTACGGGGCTGACGCTGCCTGGTTATGTAAATGTCCCGCTCCCTGCCCAGTCCAGATTTAAAAGTAGAAAGCACCCTGTACCATTACGTTAAATAAAGCTATATTTAGCACTGGACGGGATCTTGTGCAGATGAAAAGCTGGTGTGGACGGGGTGCTGGCCGGCAGCCCTGCGTGTGGGAGAAGTGGAGAGAGAAAGGCTCCTCTGCTTCGCCGCTTACGGCCCCAGAGAGCGGGCTGAACGGCACAGAGCCCGAAGAGAGCGACAGCGGCAGCTGACGCTTCTCGATTGTAATTGTAAGATGGGTCCAGTGTGACAGCTTCGGGAGATCAGGAGGGAGAGGTGAGAGTGTGGACATCAGCAGACAGAACTGGGGCAACTACCAAACAGGAAGGTGGCCTCAAGTGTCCCCGCAGATGACAAATGAAAACGGCCGTGTGGTGACAAATTCAACCTCCTAGTGGTCAAAGAAATACAAATTAAATGGCAAATTTTATTAGGCACCAGAGACCCATGCGGTTCCCATTTTAAATGCTTGGGTGGGAGGCACCCGGCTGGCTCAGTCGGTTAAGCGTCCGACTTCGGCTCAGGTCATGATTTCGCGGTTCATGGGTTCGAGCCCCGCGTCGGGGCTGAGCTGTCTGTCTCTCTCGCTGCCTCTCCGTCACTCATTCTCTCTCTTTCTCTGTCTCTGTGTCTCTCTCAAAAATAAATATATAAACATTAAGAAGTTAAAAATAATAAACGCTTGTGAGTGCCAACATGACTCCGCGTAACCGGAGCATGGTTTTCGTGGCTGATCCGCCGTGGGATCTGTTTGCTCGGCTGCCCACACGCCTCGGTCTCCCAGCCACTGGCGGCCCCTGCTGAGAGCCCGAGCGGCCGCTGCAGGGTTCAGTCTGTGCCTCGGCCCCACGCGGAGCGTCACGTCCACAATGCCGACTTCACTGCCTCTGGGGCCGCGACGAGCAGCCCGAACCGGGGGTGCAGAGAGGGAGAGAAGCTCTCCTGGGTCCTCCGTCGCCCACAGGGCACAGGACAAGCAACCTCAACTGACACTCCTGTTTCCTGCCTGCCCGTAACCAACAACGGACCCACGCAGACCTCTCAGAGGGTTACGTTCCGCTCCGAGGTGGGATCCTGCCACGGGGGCCATTTCCAAGGGCCCAGGAGAGCAGAAGGGCGGGTCAGGACCCAAGTCGTAAACGCTATAGCTGTGTCATTCTGTCTCCAGGGACTGCAGAGAGAAGCAAGACCCCTTCCCTTTTTGCCTCACTCCCCACAAACTTTAGCCCTAGTGACCTGTCCATCCTGTCCCCGTGCGCTGCAGAGAAAGCACGTTGCCGTACAAACTCCTCTTCCACATGCCCTGCCTTAGACACTGCTTTCCAAAGGCCTGCGGGCTTCAGGGTGTTGCCCGGGGAGGCTCCGGGTCCGTAGAGGTCTACGGAAAAGGTTTCCATCCTAACCTCCAGCTGCCCTTGCTTATTAGCAAGCCTTGCAAGCTCTCCTGAGACTTTCTCTTTTTTCCCGCGTCATCATTCATTTCCGAGCTTTGTGCTGGACAAAGAAATGCAGACTCATTTCAAGCTGGAACGGACAGGAATGTTCCCTACCAGAATACCCCAAGCTTGCCAACCTGTGAGGAGCGGGGGTGGGCGAAGTGCCTGGCTTAATCGAGAGGGAACGCTGTGGATGCCAGAGGGCTGGTTCTGCCCGTGGGCGTGTCTGCCCGCCGCGGCTGGGCCAGAACAGACCCCACGGCTGGCTGCGTGTGATGACCTGGGGTGCGACAGAGGCCTGGGGGGTCTATTTATTTGTCTTGATATGAGTCTTGATATGATCTCATCGAAAACGAGGTGGGGGGAGCTTTGAGGAGTAAGTTATGCGTGCACGTGTCTGGGGCAGAAGAGGAATTTTTCTGGCTTGGGCAGTGGTCGGAGGCCCATCACATGAGTAGAAAAGCTAAACCGGTAGAAGCTGAGAGGCCATCGGCACTAGGTGTTTGTGAGGTACGGAGGCAGGCAGTATGCTTTGAGGTCCGCGGGTCAATCCGTGAAACAGGGATGGGCAGTGGCCAGGGCCCCCGACTCTGGCAGGCTCTTGGAAAGGGCCTCCTTGCCCGCTGGGCTCAGCAGGCGTCCAGCCCACGGCTCATCGTTCTTTTAGAAGCCCGTCAAAATGCTTTAAAATCAGAAGGTGAAAAAAGAACTCTCAGGCCCAGAACGTTTCAATACATGGTATTAATATATTGATCTGTACACCAACACAGCTGTAAGTAAGATCTGGTTTGTAAGCATGTTTCAGGCAGGAAAGGGCCCCTGAGTGCAAAGGTGCTCGGGCACAGGGAAGTCGTGAGTTGGCCTGGGTCAGCTGCTCGGAAGCCCCTCTGTGAGAACGTACGTGGGCGGCAGCGGCTGGGTGAGACCCGTCCGATGGGGACACTGCTGTCCCCCCAGATATGAGTGAAGGCCCCGAGCAGGCCCCTAGGCGGGGGCTGTCCACTCGCACTTCGGAGAACCTTTCCTCGCTTCCCCCAAATGATGGTGGGAGACGGTGGGTGTGGGTGCTGTGGTCCTGGGGCTTCCTACCGAGGATGGATGCCAATGTGGCCTCCTCACTGCACACGCCAGACCACGGGGCTTGGGAAATTCGGTTTACACGTCTGTGACACTTTGGGCAAAGAGCTTAACCTCTCTGAGCCTCAGCGACACTTTGGGCAAAGAGCTTAACCTCTCTGAGCCTCAGCTGCGAAACAGAGATAACACCATCTAGCTCAAGGGGCTTTTGAGATTAAATCAGACAGTGTATGTCAGTGTCCACACGGTGTCTGTGGCCAGAGCTGTTAGCCATGCCCCTCCCCCCCCACGCTGCCCCCGCAGGCCACCGGCCCCACTGGCTCTAGACGGGCCTGTTACTGGTGATGCTCTTGAAACCTCTTTCCTTGCCGACGTGGTGTTGTGAAGAATGCTTTTTATTGTTCTTTACTGGAAAAAGTTAAACTTGGCTGCTGTCTCCCAGTTCTTCTCCCTTGCCAACTAAGAATATCTTAAAAAGAAAAAGCCACTATGATCCAGTATTGCCTACCGCCACCACACTTTCCTAAAGAAGGGGTAACCTAACATCAAATAGGGGGCGCCTGGGTGGCTCAGTCGGTCCAGCGTCCAACTCTGGCTCAGGACGTGGTCTTGAGGTTTGTGGGTTCGTGTGCTGACAGCTCGGAGCCCGGAGCCTGCTTCGGATTCTGTGTCTCTCTCTCTCTCTGCCCCTCCCCCAGTCGCGCTCTCTTTCTCTCTCTCGAAAATGAATAAACATTAAAAAAATGGAAAAAAAAAAAAAGAACATACTATCACAATATAGAATGATCTGTCCTAAGACACAACAGTAGGTGACCTGACATGGACACGGACAGCCCCTCCCCCGGGCACGCACACACATCCCCACCCTGTACTTCCCTCTGGCTGCAAGCAGACTGAACCATATACACCGATAATGCCATGAACACAAGGTACGCCGCTGCCTAGCTGGGAAACCGAACGACCGGGCCTCGAACACTGCCTGCTATTTCTCATCGGCACTAGTTTAATGCAAGCCTTCAGGAAGAGTCCACTCTGCGCAGGGGCCCTGGCATGGAGCTCTGCCGGGGATGCAGAGGTGAGTAAGCCGAGGTCCCTGTCCCCTGGGAGCAGAGAAGGGAGAAGGCCGCGAAGGCCAACAGCAGGCAGCAGAAGAGCGGTCCTACCTGCACCGAGAGCCACAGGCTGCAGGCCTGCAGAGGCTGCACCCATCGCTGACTCTGGGGTTGGTCTGGACGCACAAGAAAGAGGTGACTTCCAGCCTTAGCCGGAAGGCACAGGCCTCGGAGGGAGGCCTAGGGACGGGAGGCGGGGGCGGGGCAGTGCCCTGAGGGCCAAGCTCAGGAGTTCGGGCTTTGTGCTCCTGGCGAGCGGGCGCCGCCCGCCGTGGGTCCCTGCGCCGCACTGTTCAAGAGCTGGCACCTCCTGAGCACCCACTGCGGCCCGAGCTCTGGGAGAAGGCTGTACTGGCCTTGCCTCCCTGGCGCTGCCTGACCGCCGTCGGACACACGTATGCTGATCACATCTCACAGATGAGACGAGCCTCTGGGGGGGGAGGTTTGCTCCAAGGGAGTCGGCGTGGCACCCAGATCTGCCCGATTGCGAGCCCGGGTCCCTCACACGCCCCACAAGGGGCTTAGGCTTCAGGAAGGCAGTGGGACTGGCAGAGGGACAGACTGAGGGCGGGGGAGGGCCCGGGGCAGAGAAGAGCCGAGGAAGCTATTAGCGCAGCCGGAACCCAAGGTCCCCGGGGAGGGTGGGGCAGCTGCGTGGGAGGAGGAGCAGTGTTCTGGAAGGGTCGCTGAGAGCATGCTGTGGCTGCGGAGTGGGGAGGGCGCCAGCAGGTCAGGCGGTGATCCCGGCAGAGGGAGCAGAGCGAGCTGGCGCTAACTGATGCCAGTGAGGAGGCTTCAGTGCCCGCAGAGAAAGCAGGGTTCACCGGGCTCTTGGAATAAGGGAAAATATAATATTTTAAAACTCCTTTTTTTAAGTTTACTTCTTTACTGGGGGGGGGGGCAGAGACAGAGAGGGAGACAGAGAATCCCAAGCAGGCTCTGAGCCGTCAGCATAGAGCCTGACGTGGGGCTCAATCTCATGAACTGTGAGATCATGACCTGAGTTGAAATCAAGAGGCTGCGCTTACCTGACTGAGCCCCCGGCGCTGTGCCCCAAAGCTCCTTGCTGACACCAAGAGACCGAGATCACCGACAGCTTCCAGGTCGTCTGCTTAGTCTTTACTCTGAATCTATCATTTCTGATGCCAAGTGTCCTGAGCGGACTGGGGGACACAACCTTCCGAGCTGGTTTTGGTCAAAAGCGAAGATGGCAAAAGTGTGGGGCCCCCAGTGCTGCGTGCAGCCCGCGATAAGCGAATGTCCCCCGGGGGCTCAAAGGAGGAGGGCATCCTGGGCATCAGAAGAAAGGACTTTAACAGGGCTTGCGTTTGAACACAAACGGGTATTCTCATGCACCACCGGAAAGCCCTTCATGAGCTCGTGGTGCATCAAACACTTAGGGGGCCCCTGCTGAATGCTGCTCCCCAGCCCCCTCCAGTGGGGAACAGAAGAAGAAAGAAGGCAGCCAACTCAGAGCAAACTGAGTCCATCCGGGCTTCTCATTACCGCATGTGGGCCTCACAACACCTGGACGTGGCTGATGGTTTAATTCCATCTTTAGAGATGAAGAAACTACGGCTCAGTGAGGAAGACGCAGAGCTGGGATTTAAACCCAGAGACTTTGGTCTCCGAATGCTCCTTCCTCCGTGCGCATAATTCCCGGGACCCAAGGGTCTGTAGAAAGTGATGGTGGCACTGAATGGTATTGAATTATCAGGTGAGTGAGTAACAGATCAGAGAGAGAAGGGCCTCAGGCGGGGAGCCTCAGGTCCATTCTGCAGCCCTTACTGGTTCACATCCATAAGAATGAAGAATCAGCTCCTTGATTTGGCCACACCAACCACCAAGCCAATAGAGCTTGATCTGCCCCTGGTGCCAAGCCCTGGGTCTGAGGCTTACTGAACCCACGGGGACCGAGGAACCAAGGGCACTCAGTGAAAACGACACGGTGGTCCAGACTTGACGGTCTCCTCATTGCTTTTCTGTCCCAGCTTACAGATGCTGTCTTGGCCTGAAGAAACGCTTCCACCAAACAACAAGACGAAGTAAGGAAATTTGTCCACATGCCCTGATTTCATGTATTTTTCCCTCTCTTCAAAGGTAAGAAAAGAAACTGCATATGTCCTCTTAAATAGTTGGCAGAAGTCTGCTAGAAAAATTGAATGCAAATACGTTTCAGCTCTCATAAAACAGAAGGCACTCTGGCGATGCCTCTACAGCCCGTCAAAACATGAACAGACTCATGTCCCTGAAGTGACTTGATGCAAGAGAATTGCAGAAAGAAACTGGAGCACAAACCTAATAAATTAGCATATGTAATAAAACGAAGCTACGAACCATAACAGAGATTAAAGAACTGGCCTCTTGGAATGTTTAGGTTCTTAAATCATCTAGGTTTTAATGGTCAAGGCCATTTATGAAAGAAATAAATATTTCCTTTTTTTTTTTTCTGAGAAAGAGTGAGTGAGTATGTGAGTGAGTGCAGGAGGGGCAGAGGGAGGAAGAGAAAGAGAGAGAGAGAGAGAGAGAGAGAATCTTAAATAGGCTCTATGCCCAGCTCAGAGCCCAATCTGGGGCTCGATCTCACAACCGTGAGATCCTGAGCTGAGCCAAAACCAAGAGTGAGATGCTGAACCGACTGAGCCACCCAGGTGCCCCAAGACTTCCCTTTTTAATGGTGATTACGAAAATGAATTTTTGAAAATTTGCTATCTGCAGTTTTGCACCAGAATTAAACTTACTGGTCTGTATGTCTTCCTGAGGTCATTTTCTTGTCCTTCTTGGATGGATCCCTGTTGTTTGATGCTGGCCGCCTGAGCAAGGCCACGCCAGGACTCGTAAGGGCGACAGAGGCGGGGGTGCCGGGGCCATTACCTTTGACCCAGCTTGACTTGCTGGTCATGTACAGCAGGCAGGACTTCCTTTCTCAGCCGAGGAGGTGATCATGGTCATCAATCTTTTTTGCTTTTCCACACTTACTGTCTGTTCCTCAGGAAACAGTTCCTGGGCGCCTGGTGGCTCATTCAGTTAAGCGTCTGACTCTTAGCTTCTGCTCAGATCATGATCTCGCAGTTTGTGAGTTCGAGCCCCGGACCAGGCTCTACGTCGACAGTGCGGAAATGGCTTGGGATTCTCTCTCTTCCCCCCCCTCTCTGCCCCTCCCTAGCTGTTCCCTCTCTCTCAAAACAAATACATAAAAACTTTAAAAAATTAGTTCCTGATCCCGACTGGAAACATTTCTCCCCTGTTGGCAGTAGCTGGGGCCAGGCTCACATCTACAGAAGCCTGGTGGGCGCTCCCTGGGGAAGAGGTGGCGCCCGGCAGCCTCGGTGATCCTGGTAAATGTAAGGCCCTCCTTGTCACTGCCCTGCTGACACCTTCCCACGTGCCCCCTGTGTCAAAGCGGAAGTTCTCTGCACGGCCCTGTGTCACCTTCCCCACGGCCCTCCCCTTTGCCACGTTGCTCTGGCCACCCTGGCTCTTTAACTGCTCCTTAAACCTGTCCAGGTCCTTTCCAACATCAGGCCTTGCTTGTGTTCCTCTGCCTGGAAAGCCCTTCCTTTCAATCTTTGACTTTTTCCTTTCTGCCCTTCGGGTCTCAGTCCAGGGGACACGTGGCCAGAATGGCGGCTGAGGAGACCTTCCAGGACTCACCCTCCTCTCAGCTCCCTCCCATCACTGCCCTGCCTCACCTTCTTTTGAGCCCTTATCTCTATCTGACATCTTCCCCTGAACTTGTTTACATCTTTCTCAGCCTTCTCCTCCAACAGAAGGTAAATTCCACGAGGCAGGGAACTTTTCTCTCTTTTCCCTGCTGTGTTGCAGCTCTTGGAATAGTTCAACAATTATTTGTTGAATAAATGGCAAATGAACAGGGATTCAGACTCCAGAGCTTTAAACTTTCTTTATTGTCTCCTGTAAGTACTGGTGAGCCCGTAGACCTGGCAGATCCATTCATTCCTTCACTGGAGGGAAAATTAAGGACCTTCTTTTCTCGATACATCTTCCTGTCTCCCAAATAACTAGGGAATATTTGTCCCAACATCATTTATCAAGAAGTGCTCTTTTTCCAAACGTGGGTGGGAGGTGGGTGGGAATCATGAGATAAATCATGAATTAAATTTTAATATATTTTAGGCCATACTTCTGGACTATTCATTATATCTTATATCACTATCTCACAAATTTAATTACTATGCCTTTTTTATGTTTTTTTTATGTTTTTATGTTTATTTTTTTAAATTTACTTATTTTGAGAGAGAGAGCGAGCACAAGCAGGGGAGGGGCAGAGAGAGGGAGAGAGAGAATCTCTATACCATCAGCACAGAGCCTGACATGGGGCTTGAACCCATGAACTATGCTGAAATCAAGTCGGATGCTTAACTGACACCCAGGTGCCCTTTCTATTTTATTTTTTAAAGTAGACTTCATGCCCAGCACCGAGCCCAACTCAGGGCTTGAACTCACAATGCTGAGATCAAGAGTTGGATGCTTAACCGACTGAGTCACCCCTAATTACTGTGAGTTTAAAGCACACTGTAATATCTTAACACAAGGGTCATCCATTAGTTTTCTAAACATTTCTCAACTATTCTTAACTTTTTTTCCTATGAGATGATTTTTGAATCCATTTGAAAAGTTAAGAAACATCTGGTTCAGATGTTGATTTGACCAACATTAAACTTCTACCCTAATTTTGGAAGAATTCACTTTACATTATCTTTCCTTCCATCAGACTGCTAGGTTTCCTGGAGAACTGCAGTTTTCTTAAGTTTTAAGAAATTGTATATATGTATATATATATGTATATATATACATACATACAATTTGTTTCCATTTTATGTGCTCTCCCCAACTTCCAAACTTGGTTTGCTAAACTAGAAACCCGATATGAGGAGTCGTAATGTCAATCCTAGAATTGACACTTGAGCTGTTCTTATGTAATTATGCTGAACGATGTGGATTTACGAATGTACATGCTACTAACAGACCTTTTCTTCGAACAGAATGGGTTTTTATCTTGCATTTATTTGTGCTCAAGCTTACTTGCTCTTTATGTCTCAGGTAAATGTTCGTGATCTCTGATCTCAGCCAGGCCTTCCTTGCTGTGTGGGGATCCTTTCTATTTGTCCACACTGTTTCCTTTCCCATTCTCTGCCAGAGCTATTTCAAACCTTGAAATTTCAATTCTGCTACCCCCCTCACCTTCAGAAGACAGATTTGCCTTCTAGGTCATAGAGTGGGAGAAAAACACAGAACATAAAACTTCTCCAACTTCCTGACATCACATTTATGCACTTACTCGTATCTGGACCAAATCTGTCTGCTATTCCAGTGCTGACGCCCCATCTGTTTTCTGGACCCCATTCTCCCCCATTCCCCTGAATCTCTTCTTGTTGGGCAGGAAGTCATTGTTTCCCTACAAGAATAATGCACTGCTTGGTGAACTGCACTGATAGACCCTTGGCTGCCTGTTCAGTTTTCCCGTAGGATCAAGGATGGAAAGCACAATTGCTGGATCAAATGCTATGTGCACTTCCATTGCTCGGAGCTACCCAGTTACCAGTGCTGCTAACATGTGCCCCCACTATCTGTGTCTATTAGACTGCCTCTTCCCCTGAACTCTTACCGACTTTAGTTATTGTTCCTTTCAAGCGTCCAATTTGTTAGGCAAAGTGACATTTCGTTATTTCAATTTGTGTTTCTGTTGCTTGTCTAAACGAATGACGAACATTGCCCTGTTCATGGCTGTCTTCCCAGAGCCTCACTGTGCACTTGCTGAACGGGAAAGATGAATGTGCAAACCATATGCTAAGTTCTGGGCTAGGTGCTATATTGAATACAGCTGAAATACAGATGAAGGTGAATATTTTTTTTCACATACTTATTGGTGGTCATTCACATTCTTTCTCTTCCATCCTTCCTTCCTCCTCCTCCTCCTTTTTTTTTTTTTTTTTTTTTTTTTTTTTTTTTTTTTTTTTTTTTTTNTTTGGTGAATTGCTTGCTTATGTGCATTGCCCTTTTATCTATTAGCGTTATGAAGTAATTAATTCTCTGCCCATTATATATACTATATATATATATATATATATATATATATATATATATATATACCATTGAGTATTCCTAGTTGAGTATATGAGGGTTTATTTCTGGGCTCTTGATTCTGTTTCATTGATCTATATGTTTCTGCTTAGGCTAGTGCCATACTATTTTCACATCAAGAAGTGCAATGCGTCCAGTTTTGTTCTTCTTTCTCGGGACTGGTTTGGCTATTTGGGGTCTTTAGTCATTTCATACAAATTTTAGGGCTGCTTTTTTCCTTTTCTGTGAAAAATGTTATTGGAATTTTGATAAAATTTTGATAGGGACTGCATTTATTCTATAAATAGATTTGCATAGTATGAACATTTTAACAATATTAATTCTTCTGATCCATGAACATGGGGTATTTTTCCATTTGTTTGCATCTTCTTCAGTTTATTTCATCAAAGTCATAATTTTCAGAGTGCACATCTTTCACTTAGTTGGTTCAATTTATTCCTAAGCATTTATTGTTTTTTATGCTAATATGAATGAGATGATTTTATTTCTTTTACAGATGTTTCTTTGTTAGTATTTAAAAACACAACTGACTTCTGTGTGTTGATTTTGTATCCCACAAATCTACTGAATTCATTGGTTAGTGCTAACAGTTTTTTGGTGGAGTGTTTAGGGTTTTCTCTGTACAGGATCATATCACCTGCAAACAATGACAATATTACTTCTTCCTTTCCAAATTGGATGCATTTTATTTCTTTTTCTTGCCTGATCATTCTGCACAGGACTTTATGTACTATACAGAAAAGGAATGGTAAGAGTGGGCACCTTTGTAAAAGAGGAAAAGCTTCCAGTTTTTCACCACTGAGTATGATGTTAGCTGTGGGCTTGTCATCTGTGAGGCATGTTGAGGTATGTTCCTTCTATATATGATTTGTTGGGAATTTTTATCATGAACGCGTGATGAATTTGGTCAAGTGCTTTTTCTGTATCTACTGAGAGGATCAAGATTTTTATCCTCATTATATTAATGTAGTGTATTATATTTATTGGTTTGCATATGTTGAACCACCTTCGCATCCCAGGGATAAATCCCACTTGATCATGGTGTATGATTCTTTAATGTGTTGTTGAATTCAGTGTGCTAATGTTTTGTTGAGAATATTTGCATGTATATTCATCAGGGATATTTGTCTGTAGTTTATAGTGCCCTTATCTGACTATGGTAAAAGGGTAATGCTGGCCTCCTAAAACCAGTTTGAGAGTACTTCCTCCTCTTAAAGTTGTTGCAAGATTTTAAGAAGGACTGGCATTAATTCTTCTTTAAATGTTTGGTAGAATGAACCGCTGTGCCATCTGGCCCTGGAGTCTTCTGTTTTAGGAGGCTTTTGATTACTGATTCAGTACTCATTATTATCTATTTAGATTTTCTATGTTGAATCACGATTTTTCTTCATGATTCAGTTTTGGTACGTTGTGTGTTCCTGGAAATTTATTCTTTTTTTTTCTAGGTTATCCAGTTTGTTGGCATGTAATTGTTCATAGTATTCTCTCATGGTACTTTGTATTTCTATAATATAGGTTGTAATGTCTCCTCTTTCATTTCTGATTTTATTTGAGTCTTTTCTCCTTTTTCTTAGTCTAGCTAAAGGTTTGTCCATTTTTTTACCCGCAAAACCAGCTCTAGTTTCATTGATCTTTTCTTTTTTTAAAATGTTTGTTTGTTTGTTTATTTATTTATTTTGAGAGAGAGAGAGGGAGAGGGGGAGGGAGAGAGAACAAGAGCACATGCATGGGGGAGAGGCAGAGAGAGACAGAAGAGAGAGAATCTCAAGCAGGCTTCGGGTTGTCAGTATGGACCTTGACGCAGGGCTCAGTCACACCAACAGTGAGATCATGACCTGAGCTGAAATCAAGAGTGGGGTACTTAACTGACTGAGCCACCCAGGTGCCCCTTTTTCTTTTCTGTTCTTTTCTTTCAGTATTTTGAATACATCATTCCACTCCATCTTGGCCTGTAAGGTTTCTGCTGAGAAATCTGCTGATGGCCTTATGAAGATTCTCTTATAAGTGGTAAGTTTGTTTTTTTGTTTTTTTGTTTTTTAATCCTGCTGTTTTTTGGATTCTCTTTTGGTCCTTCATTTTTGTTAGTTTTAGCATTATGTGTCTTGGAGAAAATATTTTTGACCTTTTTGGGGACTTATGAGCTTCATTACCTTGGATGGTCAAATCTTTCCTCAGATTTGGGAAGTTTTCAACCATTATTTTTTTAAGTATGTTTTTTGCTCCTTCTACCTCTCTTCTCTTTCTTGGTCTCTAATAATTCACAGATTGCTTCTCTTGGTGGTATCCCATAGTTCATAGGCTCTCTTCACATTTTTTTCATTCTTTTTCCTTTGTTCTTCTCTGGTTGGATACCTTCCAAGGTCCTGTCTTATAGTTCACATATTCTTTCCTCTGTTTGATCCATTCTGCTCTTGATACTTTCTACTTCAGCTTTCATGTCATTCATTGTCTTCTTCAGCTCCAGAATTTGTTTGATTCCTTCTTATGATTTCTGCCTCTTTGTTAAACTTCTCATTTTGTTTTATGCACTGTTTTCCTAACTTTGTTGAATTGACTTTCTGTATTTTCTCATGGCTCACTGAGCTTCCTTTAAATGCTAGTTTGGGTGCCCGGGTGGCTTAGTCAGTTGAGCATCTGACTCTTGATTTCTGCTTAGGGCATGTCCCAGGGTCGTGGGCTTGAGCCCTGCATCAGGCTCTGTGCTGAGTGTAAAGCCTGCTTGGGATTCTCTTTTCTCCTTCTGCTCCCCACTTGCATGTGCTTTCTCTTTCTCTCCAATAAACAAACAAACAAATACATAAGTAAATAAGCTGTTTTTTTTTTAAATGTTTTATTTATTTCTAGGAGAGAGAGAGAGACAGCGTGAGCAGGGGAGGGTCAGAGAGAGAGGGAGTCACAGAGTGAAACAGGCTCCAGGCTCTGAGCTGGCAGTCAGCACAGAGCCCGACGCGGGGTTCGAACTCATGAACCGCGAGATCATGACCTAAGCAAAAGTTGGACGCTTAACCGACTAAGCCACCCAGGCGCCCCTTAAATAAGCTGTTTTGAATTCCTTGTCAGGTAAATCACAGATCTCCATTACTTTGGGGTCAGTTACTGGAAGGTTATTATGATCCTTTGGTAGTGTCATATTTCCTTGATTTTTCATGTTCCTTTAGTCTTGTGTTGCTGTCTTTGCATTTGATTGGAGTCACCTCCTCTAATCTTTACCGACTGACGTGAGGAGAGAAATATCTTCCATCAGCCTTAAGAGGGATTCTGAGGCCTTCTCAGACCTTCTAAGGATACTCCTGCTCTCCACTTCTTCCTCCCTCCTGAGGCAGAATTCTTAAGTTTGTATGCCTTCTCTCAGTTCTGCAGTGCTGGGTGCTGACAGCCTCCCTTTTGCTTTCCCAAAGGCAGTGCTGTTATCAAGTCTGTGGCCTCTCCCTTGCTCACAGGTTCAGTCCTGCTTTGTGCACATGCTTACTAGCCATCTGCCAAAGCTTGCTCTTATTACAGCCACTGGAAATGCACATAGGGATCCAGTCATGGGGTGGGGATGTTTGTGGGTAAGACACACAGAGCACGGGGGAGGGGGGGGAATGTCTGTGGGTGGTTGGAGGAATCTGTAGATGAGGTGTCCTAGTGGTGAGCAGGCCTCTAGATGGAATCCAGGGGGCAGTTAACAGGATCTGAGTCCATTTGATACATTCTGAGCCCTGGCTGCTGTTCTTATAGCTGTTCACCATCCCCTACTCATGTAGCTTATGACTCAGTATTCTGGATGGGGCAAGCAAAAAATGGATCTCTTTAGTAGTGTCCTGCATCTGGGTAAGCAGGGTGTTCACTCACATGCTCTTACTTTCCCTCATGGGAGAAACCATGGGCAATGTGCCACACTGGGGGACGGGTGAGGTGGGTAAAGTGAAACTATCACTTCTACCCTCTCCAATGTGTCCAGTCTTGGGTTTGTTTTTGCTCCAACAGTGTGTTGGAACTTCTCTGATGGACTCCTAGATTTCCACATTCCTACTGCATGTGTGTAATTGTCTAGGTCAGTGTTCCCTAGGGGCTTCTAGACCATGGCTGAGAGGGGCTGCAGTTGGCTCATGGGACACATCAGGTCCACAGCTGGGGCTGGGGTCCGTATTCCTATTACTTGATGCATAAGCGAGTGAGACTCATCCTGGGACTCTATCCAAATCATTTTCATCCTTTCCAGTTTTATGGAGAGCAGCACACAGTTTTCATCAAATTTCTAAAGAGATCAGCAAACCTCAAAAGGCTAACAGCTTTTATTGTTACTTTACTGTTACCCATTACTGTTGAGTTTTTATCTTCCTATTTATCAGCTATTCTTCACTCAATATTTATGAATTTCCTACTATATGTTAAATGCCAATCTAGGAATTTATTGAAATAATTATGTTTGCTCCCTTTAATCTGTGTATTTAATGAAAAATATTAATGGGTTTCTTAAAATTGATGTGATTACATTCCTAGACAAAATCCTACTTGGCCAGTGTACATTATTATTTTAATATGCAGTTGGAAACCATTTGTTAACATATTAATAATTTTTGAATGTTTATCAGCCAATGAGATAGTATGTAAATTTTTGGTGGTATGTGATCTTTGGGTTAGACTCAAAGTGTTTAAATAAATAAATAAAGTGAGCTTGTATACCTTTAATTTTTTAATGTTAAATCATATGGGAGTAATTAGTATCATGAATGATTAATGGATTTTATTGGCAAGATTACGGGGACTATCTTCTTTGTGACAATAATTCTTTGACCACTTTGCCCATTTTTTCTGTCTGGGTTTTATAGTTTGTTTTGCTCATTTACTTCTTTTAAAATACTCAATATTTAAAAAATCATTACAAATATCAAGTAATTCGCCTATAATTTTAAATAAATCTTAAAGACACACATGCTTATTTTTCAAATGTATGTACATGTTATTTTGATTAACAAGATAAACATTTATGCAAAACCATTTATGCAAAACCATTTGCATTCATAACTCATCATATATTGATTTGATCAACAGTAAAATATTATGATATTCAAGACATTTTTGATATTTACAATGAGTTCCCATTCAGGAAAAACTCTCTAGGTGCTTTGAGATGAATATCCTTTATCAGAATTATCTAGTCCGTGGAGAGTGTTTTTTTTTTTTTTTTTAATGGACTATATGTTGAATGTTTCCAAGGGCCATTTTGGCACCAGTGGGATTATCACATGTTTTTAAAAAACAGTATTTACTAAGCAATTTATTAAATCAGTGGGGTGTCCTGCTATTAACTCCAGTTTTGCATTCTCAGAATAAATGTATTAGTTGTGTGGGCATGCGATTCTAATATTGCAACATTTAGTTTGCTAATATTTTATTAAGGATTTTGGTATTTGTGTTGGTAGGTCAGACCGGTATATATTACTTTTCATATTCTCTCCACCCAGAAATGTTTTCCAGGAGCACAATCCTACTCCTTCGTACCTCCTATGGCCCTGTTTCCCCCCAGGTCATCCTACTTTCGAGCTTTTGTGGGCCTAGAACTCTGAACCAGTGCCTTGTTTTTTAGACTTTTCTATTTGCAACCTTCTAGAGCAACTCTGCCTTTCTCTCTTCAAACCACAGCCGTCCTATGTCCCATTCCATTGCTGTGGCTGAGGCAACCTGTTTTTCTTGGCCTTTCAGATAATACCTACATTTCACAGGGACGTTAAGGAATCTTCGCACTGGATTCTGGACAATCTTTCTCTAGTGCTTAGTTCATCTTCTGCCGAAAGAAGATGATGTTTTGCTGAAACCCTGGTGATCCAGGAGAGAACTTGGAACTCTTCCCAGGCAGGAAGGCCCCTCCCCCCACACACAGGATATGGTTGTGGGAGTCAGTGATGCCAATGACATCCTGAGTGATATGGAACCTTCTTCCCTGTTCAAGCACCGTGGATAAGAGCTGTAGCTCTCAGTGGACAGCTAAGGCTTCTTTCTCCCACCCACCCCCACCCCCCGCCTCCTCCAACTGGGGCAATAGTTAAATGGAAAGTTAGAAAAGTGGTGCTAATTCTTCAACAGGCACAGATCTATTGAGACCAGTCACTTGTAAGATACAAGTCAGTATCTAACACTATATTCTCTCTGGCATCAACTGAAGAGGAAGAAACTCCTCTCAAATAGAATATGACTTGGAACGAAAAACACTGAATCCTTATGTTACAGGGTGAGTTATTTTACAGGGGCGAGACCCATGCGGACACACTTGACTTTATGTCAACACCAATATCAACAAAAAGTTTTTCACAAGCACGTTAAACTTCAGAAGCCCAAGGCTCTAGGTTTCTGGAACAGTTAACAGATCTGTCTCCTTGATCATGACCAGGACTGTGTTTCCCTTGGTGTTAGTCACTGGGGAGCAGCCAGGAGAAGATACACAAATTTGTCTCTTGTTTGGGGAGAAAGTCATTTCATAATTCAGGGAAGTCTTAATACTTTAATGAAAATTATTTCAAGAAACTACAAATACGGGTGACATCTGCAGGTCTGGGACTCCCTTGTGAAAGTGAAGCACAGTGGTCCAGCTACTGAGAATAATGACAAACAAAGCCACTTGAAATAAAATGCTTTTAAGACACTGGATATACGAATTTGCCTATAATGTAAGAATTTACTAATTTGGGCCTTCAACAGACACTCCGATTCCAAGAGCTTGACCCATGGAACGTTATTTTGTCGTACAAACAGTGTCATACATGATACTATGTCAGGAAACAAAAATCCATCTAATCCATTACATATCTAGAACCATGGGAGTTTGGAGCCCGAAGGGGACTTGGGGACCACTGCTCCAAAGCCTGGAAAGATTAGGGGTTTATGGGAAAGATTAGGGGGCTACAGCCCCCGAATGTAGTCTCCCAACTCAGGCCAGGAGTTCTTGGCCATTCTTCTGCTCCTTCTTTCAGGAATGCTGCCCTTGCATACCTAGAGGCAGACAGTTCTAAGAACCGCCTTGGCCAGGACTTTCTCCCAGAACCACTGGCATGGCCATCTGGCCAGTGGTAGACAAGAAGTACGTGCTCACTCCTGGGCTCGAAGGGTTTCATGGTTTGTAGTACTGACCACTGAGGCTTGATGGAACAGGATGACTTAAAACGACTCTTTGGGAATCCAGTTCCCGAGAGGTTTCTGGGCTGGCCCCACGCTCTGCAAGCTTGTTCTATGGCTGGTTAAAGTGCAGATGGTGCTGACCATCCCCCACCAGCCACCGAGATGACAGGTCTGCCTACAGCAAAGGGCTGACTCCAATCAAGATAAAGCATGTTTCAGGGGCGCCTGCGTGGCCCATCCAGTTAAGCATCTGACTTTGGCTCAGGTCGTGATCTCACAGTTCGTGAGTTCGAGCCCCACGTCGGGCTCTGTGCTGACAGCTCAGAGCCTGGAGCCTGCTTCGGATTCCGTGTCTCCCTCGCTTTGCCCTCCCCTGCTCATGCGTGTGTGCTCTCTCTCTCTCAAAAATTAAGTAAACATTAAAAAACTTAAAAAAAAGATAAAGCATATTTCTAAAACGGTTCTTCTGCTGTTGGATAGAATTCTGAAGCCCCAGCTCCCACATGGCTGTCATACTAAGGACACTGAAGAGCCACTGATGTCACGTGTCTGTGGGGACTGGCGCATTACTCCGCTTTGGCTCCTGGGGAGCAGGGCCAGCCGTGGAGGCAGGGGCAGTAGTGTCTGAGCAAAGCCCTCTCCGAGTGAGGCCAGGCTCCTCGCAGGAAGGCAGAGGCCATTAGCAGCCAATCGGGCACCTGGATATCCTCCCTGCCTACGCCGTCACAACACTGAAGTACTTGTGAACTGCGGACTCTACCTTTCTCCTGTTTGGTTACTGGCCTGGTCTGGTCTCACCTCGAAGCAGACCCGAGACAGGGATTTAGTTCGTTTGGGAGGTGGTCCAGGGAAACAGTGATGGGGAAGGAGGAAGCGGGGCAGGGGTGGGAAGGGGGCCAGTGAGGACCGCTCAGCAGCGTGGGCGCCTAGAGCTCAGGGTGCTGGGGAGGCTCAGGGAGTCAGTGCAGCTCTGCCCCAGAGTCATCAGGCCGGTGGAGGCCAAACAGCTGGTGTTTACTCCCTTCTCCTCAGTCACCGGTTACGGGCGCTCGCAGGCAGTGTTCGCTCTCCCACCTCCAGCCTGCCCTCCATGCAGGGAGAGGGGCTCCTGCCGCATCAGAGGCTCTCGGGCAGTTAAGACTTTGGGCCACTGTGCGGTACAAACTAGTTGTGGTTGGATCACAGGTGGAGTCACGGTTATTATTTTTTATTTTTATTTTTTTAGTTCTATTTTTTTTTATTTATTTTTTATTTATTTATTTATTTTTTTTACAAATAGTTTATTGTCAAATTAGTTTCTACATAACACTCAGTGCTCATCCCCAAAGTGCCCTCCTCCATGCCCATCCCCCCCCTCCCCCCCACATCCATCAGTCCTCAGTTTTTGTCAGCATTCAAGAGTCTCTCATGGTTTGCCTCTCTCCCACGGTTATTATTTTTTTTAAGTTTATTTATTTTGAGACAGGCAGAGAGAGTGCAAGGAGGGGAGGGGCAGAGAGAGAAGGAGAGAATCTAAAGCAGGCTCTGTGCCATCAGCGCAGAGCCCGATGCAGGGATAGAACTTACGAACCACGAGATCATGACCTGAGCTGAAATCAAGAGTCAGACGCTTCACTTACTGAGCCACCCAGGTGCCCCAGATTTAGTCACAGTCATTCTGATCCTGAAGGTGGGAACCCAGGGCATTCTGATGCTGTGTCTTCCTGCTTACACTCTTCATCGCATGCCAAAGCCTGGTGTGGTTACAGACCTATGCTCCACATGCCAGGTGCTGACTGCAAATAGGTGCAGAGCTGTTCCCTCAGTCCCAGCAGACAGATGTGACCTCACAGCAGTGAAGTTTCTTTTCTTTGAGGTTGTTACAGGGGGTGTGATATTTGCCAGGCTCCTGCCATGTGCTCAGCCCTAGGCTGCATAACTCAACCCTTACAGCTCTATTACTGGGCGTGGTTATCCTCATACTACACATGAGGCCAAGACTGTTTATCCAATTGACACTGAAGCCCTGGGATGGGTCCCAGGGATCAACTGAAAAACAAGACAGGTGTGGGCCCGAGCGTGGTGTTGGGAGCCAGCTCAGGGCCTGGAGGGACGGGGGAGCAGCGGGAGGCAGGATACACTGGCTTGTTTGAAGCCCCGGCAGTGAGTTAGGACATCAACCAAAATTCACAGAGTTTGCAAACTGCATGGCTGTGATTCAAACTGTGTCTAATCTGGAAGCCTAATTCCTACATCTTTCTGCTTCGAAATGATATTGAAGATATAAACCTGTATTTCTGTTTTCCATCTCTTAGCCCCCTGCCTGATGGGAAAAATGTGTGCCAATACCTTTTTTGTCTTCTTATGTGGATTTTTACATACAACAAGTGATAAACTGATGGATATTTGAATGCACTCATTCGTGATAGGCTGGGGAGAGATTTAAATTTTGAGACACTGACATATCTGGGAGCTTGAATAAAACCTAGTGCTTTCAACAATGCTCCTAGTTTCTTGCTCGGCGAGGCACGGGGAAGGATGGGGGGCTAAGAGTTTTGCCCCCTGGCTCCCCCTTTCCCTGTTCACTCTGCCCGGGAGAACCGAGCGCAGAGTGGTGGCGGTGCCTCCAGAAGGTGAAGCCTGTTGGCTGATGAGGGGCGGGAGCGCATGGCTCATCGCGGCCTCGAATGCTGGAACAGCAAGAGTGTTTGCAGCCTCGTGAACACCAGGCAGCAAAGCCGGTAGGGTGCGGAGCCATTGTAAGAAATAATGCGATGTTCTTCAGTTGCCATCCGGCTCTCAGTTCTGGCAGACAAGTGGGACCGGACTGGGGTTCAAGTGACAGAGAGGAGCACAGCCCATTACCATTGAGGAGGAAATGGCTGGAGCCCACATTCTTGGGAGGGGCTGCCTGTGAGGCCCACGCTCCATGCTCCAGCGCACAGGCATGCCAGCCGAAAGACGTGTGCACTGTCCACAGGCAGAGGACCTGATAGATTTACGAGAACAGGGACTCAGTGGATATGGAGGGTGGGATGGGAATGAGTGAAAGGCAGTCTGAGCCACTGGGGGGTTCAGGGGCTCAGCCATGGGAGATGGCGCCCACATCCTTCCGGGCCTGCTCTCGGCCGTCTGTGGTCATTCCTGGCTTGGCCCGGCTTCTCCACAGCACCCACCTGCACTATGGGGCTGGGCTCTAACAGCCTGGGTGTTGAGCAGGCGAAGGGGGCTCACTCCCCCATTCACATGGGCTGCCAGTAACTTGTTAGCCCATACAATGTACTCTCAGAATAGGGGAAAAAACTGACCGCAAGTGCAAAGAAATCGAGGTGTTTCCAGGCGAGATCTTATCCGAGTTACAGAAGAAGCGGCGCGCTGAAAGGGAAGGAGGCTGTGATGTGAGGCCAAGCAGATGCGCGAGGTAGCCCAGCTCTGAAACTTACTAGCGAACAAGCCTGTTTCCTCCTCTGCACCCACTTCCGACGGCTTTCATGAAATGAATGAACTAAAATAAGCAAAGCCCCCAGCACAGAGGAGGCCCTCAACAAACGTTAGCTTCTTCCTCTTCCAGTGGAAGCCGCAGCGCTATCTCGACTCTAGTGTGGCCAAGTCTAGCACGGATGTGCTTTGAGAAGCTGTGGAGGGAAGGATGGGGGTGGAGCACTGACTGGGGGGCAGGGGGCCCGGGACCCCCTTTCTACCAGGGGTTCTTCCTGCTGTGGTTTCTAAGCAATGCCCGTGGCGCTCGATGGGGGTGGGGCTGGGGGACTTCTAACTGTTTAAAACACCAGGATGCCGCACGGGGTTTGTTTGGCACACCCCAAACAAACACACACCCAAAGCTCCACATCGCAGAGCTCAATGGTGCAGAAGGCCACTTTCAGCACAAGGACCATGGGTTGAAGCTTCAGCATTGACTAAAAGAGGGACGGCTAGATGTTCTCAACCCACAGGCAAAATTCTTAATGGACAGGGCAGGGGCGGGAGGGAACATGGTCCTTTACCAACATGAGGGACCGTGAGCATTGAATTATAGGCTTGAGGGCGCCTGGGTGGCTCAGTTGGTTAAGCATCCAACTTCTGCTCAGGTCATAAACTCATGGTTTGTGAGTTCGAGCCCCACATCAGGCTCTGCTATCAGCACGAAGGTTGCTTTGGATCCTCTTTTCCCCTCTCTCCGTGTGTGTCTCTCTCCCACACAAAAATAAATAAAAACATTACAAAATAAGTAAATATGGGCACCTGGGTGGCTCAGTCGGTTAAGCGTCCGACTTCGGCTAGGGTCATGATCTTACAGTCTGTGGGTTCCAGCCCCGTGTCAGGCCCTGTGCTGACAGCTCAGAGCCTGGAGCTGCTTCAGATTCTGTGTCTCTCTCTCTGCCCCTCCCTTGCTCGTGCTCTGTCTCTCAAAAACAAGTAAATATTAAAAAAAAATAAATTATGGACTCGAAAATAAAGGGCTGTCTTGTGAAGGATGGTTAGCCCAAGGAGGGGACAAGGTTCAGGAGGCCTGGGACGTGCATGGCCCCTTTCCTGCATGAACCACTCAGGGCCAAACAGCTGGGGTTTCCGGGGCTCTCCCGTGCGCGTGGGACAGGCATCTGAGACAGCTCGCGGGGGGCCCAGCACACTTCTGCACAAGTACACAACCTTCCCCGCGCCCGGCTGCACGAACCACACCGTCTGCAAGTGCTGCGCGGCGCCTACCTTCTTCAGCTCCTCCTGGACGTCCTGGCCATTCTCTTCGGGGGACAGACAGTCCTTGTGGCTCTGGGGTTCCGCCTTGGGCTCCGACTCCTGATCGTCCCCCGAGGATGTCTCCTTCTCACTCACTTTCACTGCTAACTCGTACAGCCTGTTTCTCAGTTTTTCTTCCGTGGCGGCCCCACGGCCCCGAGGGTGCAGAGCCCCGTTGCTGATGTCGGTCTCCGACGGGTCTCCGGACGCCTACGTGCAAATCAGAATCACGAGCTGAGGCCTCGTCTGCCACACCCCTGTTGCTGGTTCCCCTCGCCTCCCTGGGAAGCACGGCCCAGGAAAACCAAGCTCTCTTACGTGACCTGCTTTCCCTGCGGGTGGCCTTTTCCTTTCCACTTTTACTTTCTCAAATACATGCAACCTAACGTTTCGTTAAAGGCTTCATGCAGGTGAGCGTCTGTGCTCAGAAACGTGCTGGAATTCAGTGTTTGCTTCCCGGGTGCCCACTGGCAGCCCTGTGTGGGTAGCAGGAGGCTGAGATGCCTGGTCGGTGGCTCCCTGGTGGAGGGGACGCACTGAAACCCAGGGGCTAAGTGTCCTGGTGGTGAGTGCAGAGAATGGGGTTGGGGAAGGATGCTGTGATGGGCCACTAAGGGGCACTTCCTTCAGGGCTGGAAGGTGGGGGCAGCTTTCTCGTGGAAGTGGCCATGCAAAGGTGCAGCAGTTACTGAGCTAAAAGGGAGACAGGGAAGCACAGCATTCTGGGCAAAGGGCAAAGACTGTGAGATGGCGCGAGGTCCTTGTACGTAGGTAAGCAATACTGTGTGACCTTCCCTTGATAAGTGCACTCCCCGCTTAATAATGACAGCTTTGGCTCCTACCATCCATTTGGTGGATACCTCTGAAGCTTCTTCTGGGAGTAGATTCCTGAACACATGGAGATTGTGACTCCCGCTCTGTCCTTGGCCTTAAGGTGGACAGATGTGTATGGAATTTTAACAAGATAACCCTCAGCAAACCATCGGGGTCCATTAGACCAAACTTTAGTTCTTAAATTTCTCTTTGAGTTGCTCTATTTATAAGGCTTGACATTTTATTCCCTTATTCTTTCTTGAAGGGTTTCTTAAGAACAAAGAGAAAATTTACTGATTTTTAAAAAATAAAATAAGACTCATTCTATTTTGTAATTACTATGTGGGTTCATTGGACCCTCTCATAAATCTATGGTACATGACAGGATCTTTGTGATCTTATTTTTCCCATCCTTTGAAATATTTTGCTCTTTCATCGTCCTGGGAATTATCTTTCATCATTACTCATCAATTGTTCCCAATTAGGCTAAAAGACACCAAAACACTAAAACGGAAGAATGGAATTGCCTGGAAGGATATTCAGTAATGAAATAAATCATCACCATTTTGAGTCTGCTTTTAGCTCACTGCATACAGTTGAGAATTCAAAATGTTCCATAACTGCAGAGAGAAGAAAAGTGATAGAGAACGCCATTTCGCCATGATTAGATGACTCAGGGGATTAATTCAAAGAGGAGAGATCTTCAGATGCTAACAGTGATGGTAAGTTGATTGTGTAAGTAAAATCTCAGCCCAAGGGTCTTCAGACGATAGTGCCTCAAGGTGAATATCCTCAAACTGAAGAATCGATGAGGAAATAATGTATTTATAAGGACAAACGGAAATATGGTATTTTCACGCAGTTAGTCATTCAACAGGAAGAGCTTCATCATATAATATTTTATAGTAAGAATCTGGACCATCTTGCTATATGTGTGACAGATTCTTTAATTCTTTGTGATGGTTGTGCATCAAATTTACCAAACAGTTATACTGGACAGATGTGAAAGGCAGCTGTCTACATAAAGGAAACAGATGACGTAGAATTGAAAAAAAAAAAAAAAAAGAGCCACTGGATTGATAAAAGAAAAAGCATCCACTGGAAATGACTATTTTCCTGGTCCTGAGCAGAATCAGTGATGAGCTGGGCTCATGGGAGGTGACCAGTTCTCCCAGTGTGCTTGAGAATTCGGAATTCTTTTGTCTGGGGATACAAGGAAGCTAAATGGGAAGAATGGCCTCTGAGTAGGTTCTTGAAAGACGAGGGAAATTTTAGTATGTAGATGTGGGCCCAGGCACTCTTGATGAGGAAGCAGCATGGCCAGTAAGACCCAGGGTGCATGAGATCACTTGGTGTGGCTGCCGGCATAAGGCTCAGGAATGGGAGAGTAGGGGGTTTGGAGGGAGGGGCAAATGGGCGTGGGTCAGACTGTAGAGGGTTAAGGATGAGCCTAAGGAGCTGGGCTTGTCTACCAGATAGTTCCGCTGCTGCCACGTGGCGTGCACTACACTAGCCTGGAAGTCAGCAACTGGCCACAAACCCACATCCGGCAACCTCTTTCCAGCTCACTCAACAGATTTCACGCACTGAAATAGCAGCAGTGTGTGCTATTTGTCTTCACTCCGGTTTGCTTTTCTGTAGCTTTGGCCTATTTCTTTACCTCACCAGAACCTTCAGACTTGGTCAATGGCGAATCGGTCTACATTCAGCAAATGCGTTCTGAGTGCCTACTAAGTGCCGGTCTGTGCTGGCCACTGGAGCTCACGGGTGGGGGCGGCAATTGTGTTGCTCTGGTGGTGGTCATAGGGTGGTGAAGAGACACTGTCCTGACACACTGGCTTCGCTGCACACACGTGAGCGTTTGATGAGTCTCGGGGGGCAGCCCTTACCTAGTTCGTCGGGTGGGTATCACTGGGAGGGAACTAGGAATCGTTGACAGCTGAGTAGAATTTTAAAGGATGAAGCCCTAGAGATCATCAGGATATATGTCCAGCTTTATGTGAATGTTGAGAATTGTACTAATGATAAATGATGATCCCAGAGTTCAATAAACACTGTAGCCACATGCACAGGGATCTGACATTAGGAGACGTAATACCACGAATGTAGACGGAAGCATCGTTATCAAAAGCCACCAGAGCTTCAAAACTAATTGAGTAATATTTGGCCCCGTCATATTTACCAAGAACATCAACAAATATTTGCATCTCCAAAGGAAAATGTGTCTGTTTTTTCTGTCTACAAAGGATCAGGCCATCCCCACTCTGTTATAAACTGACAGGTTTTCCCCACATACCGATTTTAACGTCAGTCTCCAGGCGAGCTGGCTGGCACAACAGGTGTTAAGTTGGGGTCTCAGCTAACAGGGTCTGTGGCTGGCCTCTGAGGACCCCTGATACGGTTTGCACACCTCCGTTTCCACGCACACTTTTCTAGGGAGAGGGTTCCTAGCTTTCATCAGATTTTCCCTGGCATCCATGCCCCCAAAAGACTAAGAAACAATGAAAAGAATACATAATCCTACTTCCTGGTGTAGAGAGATACACGTTACTCGAAGAGGGAATGGCAAGCTTCCAGCTGAGAGCAGAGCAAAGGAAGGGGGAGAAGGGTGGTTGGATTCCAGAGCCTGTTGCGAACATGGACTCTGCATTTAGAGAAGATGAGAGGCAGGACGGTGGAGACTTCTAAGAGCCTTTTGTGACTTGAAAAAATAATCAGAGAATGGAATTCGTTAAGGGCAAGCTGGGTACCTCTCAGCAAGATGGGTACCTGGGCATAAGACAGTCCCCATAATTGGTTGAAAATCGGAATTGCCTGCCCACCGGTGCTTTCCCTCCACTTTGTGGATTGGCATTGGTATGTCTAATGGGATGACATTTCTTTGAAAATAAGAAACCAATGTTTCTCAGTTGACACATTTTACCCAGGGGAGGAGAGCTCAGATCCAGAACGAAAGGATCACTGATCAGCTCACTCCACGACCTCTACAACGTGGTGACGGTGTAGAAAACCAGATTTTATGGAAAGAGAGAAGACGTTTCTAGAGACCAAAGTTCCCTAAAGTTCAAATGCTGCATTTTGCTTGCTCCTCAGTTGGGATCCAGGGAGAAGGAGCCGCACAGGCTGCCTGTGGCCTCTCACTCTTTGGACCGCATTAATTTGGGGCTGTTGTGTCAGAGCTGCATCAGACCCTGAGGAAGGGCCTCAGACGGAGGCCTGACGGGGCTCCGGGCCTCTGCCGGCTCCTGTGCGGTGCCGAGAGCATCTGGGAGCCGGCTCACGGAAGATCGTCGGTGGTTCTGGAAGGTGGGCTTGCCAGTGTTTCCTTGGGTGGGGAGGTGGCTGCCTTGGGGCCAGGCAGCCGGGACTCAGGGGCGATGACGTGCCAGCCACGGTGGGGACCGACGGGGAGATGCCGGATTCTGACCATGCACACGGGCAACAGACCACGGGTTCTCAAGTCTGAGGATGCCAGCGGGGTGGGAGTGACTTTGTGAACAGAGACCCCTTCCCTGAGGAGACCTGCAAGGACCCGGGGGCCCTGCTTAGCTCTAAGATGGCCCTGAAGCCACAAGGTCACAGAAGCTCCCCCACAGGTGCCCCAAGATGGCAAAAGTGGAGACGTGGGGGGCTGGAGGACTAATTATTTACCTAGAAGAGGAAAGACCGTTTTATTATTTACTTATTTATTTATTTATTTATTTATTTAGAGAGTGGAGGAGGAGCAGAGAGAGACAGAGAGAGAGAGAGAGAAAGAGAGAGAGAGAGAATCCCAAGTAGGCTCCATGCTCACTACAGAGCCTGATAAGGGGCTTGATCTCATGAACTGCAAGGTCATGACCTGAGTTGAAATCAGGAGTGGGACACATACACTGAGCCCCCCAGGGCCCCAGGCAAGACAGTTTTGAAGAGAGAAATCACAAAAGGCAACATGTTCTTCGACTGTCTAGTTCACACGGCTGGCTGTGCAGTGTGGGGGTGCTGGGTGTACAGTGGGGGGGGGCTGGCTGTGCAGTGGAGGGGGCTGGCTGTACAGTGGGGGGGGCTGGCTGTACAGGGGGGGGGCTGGCTGTGCAGTGCGGGGGGGCTGGCTGTACAGTGGGGGGGCTGGCTGTGCAGTGGGGGGGCTGGCTGTGCTGTGGGGGGCTGGCTGTGCAGTGTGGGGGGCTGGCTGTGCTGTGGGGGGGGCTGGCTGTGCAGTGTGGGGAGGCAGAGGAGGAAGGGTGAGGCATTTACAGAAGGATACAAGGTCACCTTTTTCTTGCACACATGAATTTAGTGTGTGGAACCTGGTGACCCGGCTAAATGAGAAAGTGTATTTTTAGACACCTAATGACGGCATACTCACTAAGATAAGCTGGTACGGTTTCTGAAACAAGGGTCTGTTCATACATTCT